TTCGTAGGTTACTGGTATTTGATCATAGGTGTCTTCGAAGCATTGCTCGTATATCCTGGGTCCATCGAGTAAGTAATGCAGTTGTTAGTAAACGGGTACTAGGTAAAGATGGCAAATCAAATGATGAAGTAATGAAACATCCTCAGTTGAGATGGCTGGGATATGTGTTGCGTATGCCAAACCACCGACTGCCTCGAAGAGCGATATTCTATGGTGTAGGAGTAGATTGGAAGAAAGCCAGAGGCGGTCAGACCAAAACATGGCACAAATCCATGAAGTCACTGACAAGTGAACTGAACCACTTATTTCGGTGTAGACTATGTGGTTGGGATCCGTGAGGCGATAGCAACTGATACCTAGAGACCTTGAATGACATGACATGCATCCACTCTTTGTGTTCTCTCAAATTCTAATCTTCTGAATTCTTCATGTTTCCTTTTTTTTCTCTTTCCAAACCTGTTACACTGGATTATACTCCTTGAATAACATTTTCAAACCTTAATCTTTCTGATTATTGCTTATACTTTTACTACCTCTACCACGATGGAATTTGAGACGACAATTGTATCTGTGTGCTAATGTGGTATGGCAACTTGAACTGATGTACATACGTACGAAGTTCTACGTTGTTGCTGACTGACTGATATATATATATATATATATATATATATATATATATATATACCCATTGATGTTTAAGACTTTGATTGATCAGTTTCTTTTAGGATATATGGATTCTGTGCAGATTCGCTAGATATTGCCATTAAGTCACAAAAATTAGAAATGGATGATAGTCAGAAATGGAGTTCAAGATGTGCAGTTCTTCCTATTTGAGACTAATCAGCTGAATATACCTACATTTTAGAGTTGATATTCACCTCGCGAAGCATGCATCCTTGATTCCACTGTTAACCATTATCCATATCTGCTCATAATATATATGTTTTTATAGTTCAAAACCATATTAGAAGGTCTTTCAATGCCACTTCATTTTTTGGTTAGACGAATTTCCCAAAGTGAACATGTTTAAATTTATTAATCAATATAGTGTCTGAATAGATTACGAGTTCACCTAATCTGAGAACGGAACAAAAACTCTGTGATACAATAACCAATAAGCTCACTATTCTGATGCGTCCCAGTGTCTCACTAACTAGAAAGAGAATTCCAAGTTCGAAGGAGGGAAATATATTTCACAAGCAATCAGAAGCACCAACAACAACAACAATAAACACAAAACAAGCGTATATATACAACATAAAAATGTCCTTGGAAGACGGTACAAAATAAAATACTAAAAGTGATAACAAACTAAGAGGATTTAAGTTCCTCTCAAGTGGGAAACACGGTATGAAGGTGAAAATGAACACTTTTGGCGCAAAAACAAGAAATTCAAATTGTTAAAATAGAATTACAAAAATAAGGTATTTACCAAATGAGTTCTGAAGATCTCACATCCCCAACATATAGGGAATCTATAATCGCACGCGAGACTGTTAGGTCCTGAGCTCAAGTCTAAGGCGGGCGGGATCGTGGATGCGCACTGTTGAAGAGTCTTATACTAGGATGAAACGGTCATCCAGTACTTCCAGGTTTTCCATTATGGTCTAGCTTCAATTGATTCATGATCTTAACTATAAAATTAAGCCGTTGAATGTTTTGCATTCATCATTGGACATACTCAATGTTGAATACTTCAAGATGTGTTCGAAAACATTGAGGGGTCTTAAAAAGTTATTTTCTCCTTGATGCATTCATGAACCAATTGTTAATTACAAAAATAAACCCATTTGAAGTTCGATCCGAAAGAATATATTCTACAATATTCTTTAAGTTTGATTGGTTAGAATCTCCACATCAAGTTCAATGTTCACAAACAAAATCTTTTACATGATAATGACATAAATTCTTTGAAAGACTTCTTGTTTACATTTCAAATTTACTCTCATTCATCTTCAATTATGCGATCAATGAGAAAAATTCACTTGGTATTGTTTACTTGAATCTTCCCATTGATGTTTAGGACTGCAATTGATTAGTCTCTCTCTCTCTCTTATTGGCATAAGCGAGTGGCTGTCAGGACTCAGTAGCTAAGTGGATAGCGCGATGACGTTTGAAGAGACCGGTATTTGTTTCAAGTCCCAACGTGAACGCCAACCTAGAGAGTCAGGTATATCCGACTGACGAGTCCCAAATAAGACGAAACGCGCTTCAAACTGGATTCCACTGCTAGTCACTCTCTGTCTTTGCTTATGTGAAGGTATGTTTATTGTCTCCTATTTTTTCCACATAAATAAAGATTGCACCTACTAACTATCTTTTTTTAACCTCCTGTAATTGGAAAGTATCTCTCTCTGTTCTTATTTGATCAAAATTTGGAGCCTTACCATTTTGTAAACTTAACAGAATGGATTAATTAGAAACAAAGAAACGTTAGAATGATTTAGTCAAATCTGTCTACAGTTTAATTTGTATTATATGCTAACTTGCTATGAGGAAGTACGAAACACAATGGACGGCTTGGATGCAGATGAACTATGTGAACTTGATAGATGACCCAGCTCTTCTATCCCATACACATCAACAAATGCAGACGAAGACAATCAGTGTAGTAGCAGTCTCTGCATCAGTAGACCTAAACGTACACCACGGAAAAGCAAGATCTTGAAATACAACACGGACAACACTAATCCAATCACACTTGATAGAGAAGCTCTGGAACAGGTGGAAAACTTCACGTACGTGGACAGCATCATCGATTAATAAAGAGGATTTGATGAGTATGTGAAGGCACAGGTTAGCAAAGCAAGAACATCATTTCTACAGTTGCAGAACATATGTATTCTGTGGATAGTGGTTTCATACTTGACATAGTTGAAATGCATTAATCACAAGTTCTGACAGAAGCTCAGAGTTATCACCAGTAAACACATAATCCTTTCAAAAGTAAACATTTCATTGATTCAAATTCACTTGTTATTGTTTACTCGGATCTCCCCATTGTTATTTAGAATTGCAGTTGATCAGTCCCTTATTGACATATATGCATACTGTGCGTATAGCCTAGATATTGCCTTAATTCACAAGTATTCTAAGAAAAAATGGATAGTGGTTAGCAGTGGAAGACATAATGCATATTTCGTCCTATTTGGGACTCGTCAGCTAGATGTACCTACATCTCAGAGTTGATGTTCACTCTATAAATCGAACTCAGTACTGTTCGTTTCAGGACTCATTAACTAATTAGATAACATAATATCATTTGAAGCGAATATTACTGAGTTCGAGTCCCATAGTGAACATCAACTCTAGGATATAGGTACTTCCAACTGAAGAGTCCCAAACAGGACGAAAATCTCATCCTAACTTCGATTGCTAACCATTATTCATCTTTACTTATTTTCATTGATTCATAGACAAATTGTAAAAGTAAAATTTATTGGAGGGAAAAAACTAATCATGTTCAAACCTTATCTTAATAGTTGAGATCATGAGTCAATTGAAGCTAGACAACCATTTAAAACCTGGAAGCACTCGACGGCCGTTTCATCCTACTATGGGACTCCTCAGCAATGCTCATCCACGATCCCGCCTCGGGAGACTCGAACCCAGGACCTGTCAGTCTCGCTCGCGAGCACTTAACGAACCAGACCACTGAGCGGATGCGCACCGCTGATGAGTCCCATAATAGGACGAAACGGCCGCCCAGTTGTTATGTCCTTCGGTCTGTCTACCCGCTTTTGGTGCTGAGGATACTTATCTAATTCAGATTAAGACCTTGGCGCAATAGACTGACCGACCTAACCTTGAAGCTAGTACGCATGAGTTTGAAGTGGGGTAGAGAGAAAACTATTCTATCACCTGATTGGCTGACAAGCACGCGAATGAGAGAAGACAAGACAACTGGAACATTACTCGATCTATTCCCGATATCCTGATTTCAGCTCGGATTAGTGTAGAAAAGTATATGAATAAATAAGTGAATAACCCGACCACAGCGTACAATAATTAGGAAAAATACAATTATGTCCAAAACTGGGAATTAGGGTAGACAGTAAGGTGCAAAATATTATGTTTAAATTATAATAGCTTCGGAACAAAAAAGGGTATGGCAATGAATCATACATCAAACGAAAGCTTACGTTCTGTAGAATAAGTTACGAAAAAAATAAATGTCAGTGTTTTACAAGCTTTGAATAAAATGAAATAACTTCCCGGAAAAAATAGCTTACGTAGTTTGTTAGAACTTCTTGTTTTCTTGTTCACAACATCAATGCTTCCAGATTTTCTATGATGGTCTAGCTTCAATTGACTTATGATCTTAACTATTGAAATTACTACAATCTTCACAAAATCCTTTCTGATACTTATCTTAATAACATGAAAGAACAATGAATAAATAACCTCCCCAGCAGTGCGCGCAGACCACCCCGAAACCCGCGGGATTCGATCCCAGGACCTACTGGTCCCGCGCGCGAGCACTTAATCACCAGACCACTGAGTTGGGGTCCAGCGGTGTTAATGTCTAACTTCAACCAATCCACGAAGTTGAACTCCACTGGTAACAGCTTCTCACTAGAACTCCAGGAGTATCTCCTGAAGTCAGTCACTAATGAGCAGTTGATTATTATCAGAATGGGTTTTGTGGAGATTTTTAGAAATTTCACAGGTTGAAATCATGAGTCAATTGAAGCTAGACCACCATAAAAAAACCTGGAAGCACTGGAGGTCGTTTCGTCCTAGTATAGGACTTCTCAGCAGTGAGCATCCATGATCCCTCACCCTGAGAGATTCGTACCCAGGACCTAGTGGTTTCTTTATTTATCAACTGGTTAAATGAATTATTTTGCTAAATTCTTATTGGTTATTTATCTTATATTAGTTATTTTTGAATTAACCAATCATTTATTTGTATTTTTATGAATTCAATTTTTATTGGTTAATTTTTATTCCTATTAGCCGATTCATTCAATAGAAAAGTACAGTATAGAATTGATTCACATAAATATGACCTTTATTCGGACAAATTCGAAGCACTTTCAATTGAGATCATGATGATGATGATGATGATGTGATCAAGAATGAAGTATTTTGAATATCAACCATTTGACATACATAGATACATATATATATCTATTCCTCATATTCTATAGAGATACTTTTACTTTAGGAAGAAAAACACACACACTTTCCTACTATCCTTTTCTTTCAAGGATTAAGATTATGGAATCATACAACTCGAATAAAAAAGAAGAAGAAGAAGTGAGAATGTAAATGATTGATAATACAGTTGACAACTGTCTTTAACTATAGACAGTTGTATAATGATGATAGTAAATAGATATAACTCAAGTATAAATTCCTTCAATTATTCTTGTTAGTTAACATGTCAGAAGAACAACATATCAATATAAATAATGAATACTGTCCAATAACACGTTTATCTTATCCATTATCTTATTTAACTGGTATAAATGAAGATATACGAGGTGAATTAGTACATTCTATTATTGATTTACAACAACAACAACAAGAACAACAAGAACAATCTATGAATACATGTGCAGTACCAATCAATGTATGTTGTGTTTGTTCTAATGATGAAAATGATTTACAATCATTACATTCTGATGTTCAAGTGTTATGCGCTACTCCAGGTTGTAAATATAGTAAGTCCAATGCATATATACTACATTTATTTTTGAAAAATTCATTTATAAATGGATTGATATACATGGAGATTGTTGAATTCTTATTGTTTTAGATCATGAATTGATCTTAGTTAGATCATTATTAGATACTTGGAAGAACTGGATAGATATGTTATCCTAGTAAAATGTTATATTCTTATTTTCTTCTGTTATTAACATAGGTATATTGTTCAGGAATATGATTCTCAAACATGTTTTCAAATAGTATACTAATATTAGTAAAACTGTGGTGAATAAGAACATCAGTGGGGATAATTGAATGTGTTCGAGCATAAAATTACAGAGCATCTCATGAAAATCTGAGAATCATATAGTAACTAGTTAATTTGCCAAATATCAATCCATCGTCTCAAACTTGACTGTTCCCTTTGCAAATATCAGTCCATCATCTGAGATTTCATTGTTCATGCATTTTCATATATCAATTGCATTCTGTTTCCGTTCTTTCCTTATTGATCTTCTACTGAAATACATTCTATTCTTGACTATCGTTATTTACTACTTATGTGGATATAAGTAGCTCACACCACAAAATATTCTTATTTATGGATTTAACACTTTATTTTTAAAGATTATCTATATGATTGATTGATTGATTGATTTTGGCTAGGAAAAACTATTGAGAAAATCATGGAGCACGAGATAAGTGTTTTATGCTGGTATGGAACTCATTAACTAGTACTCATCAATGATATCACCACAGATTTACTCTAATAACTTCTGTCATAGTAATGAATCCTTAATTTGTCTGATATCGCTGTACCACACCAACCAAATCTCACAAGAACCATGGGATTGTAGAATATTGAATGTCAACTCAGTGGCCTAAGGATTATAAGTTTATCACGAGACCAGAACTTATTGAACTCATCTTGTGGAGGTATTATTACTTTTCTATACTGTTGAAAAGTCTTATAAGAGAACATAAAGCCTGTCCAATGATCATTGGACTCCACTGATACTGTAACTAAGGTCAATTCGTGACGAATATTACCTACAAATCCAAAATAATCTTCAAAAAAATCCCTACGTCTCAAATGATAATTGGAGATTCATTAACAGACCTATAAGAAGAGAAGAGGAAAGCAAACAATATCAGTTATTTTGTCAAGTCTATTTAATTTAAAATGATTTTTGAGTTACCCCTTTACTGATATTCATGATTAAGTTTTGATCACTCTTATTTGATCTATGTACATCCTGTACGGATCGCCTTACTGTTATCCATCATATCACAAGTTTGTATAGAATATATAGAATGTGGTTAGCAGTGGAATCCAGGATGTAAGTTTCGTCCAAACCATTACAAATTAATGGAAAATTCATACCACTCCCATATGTAATTGGCTATTCGGATTCAGTAATTAGGTGTACAACACGTTGGACGTTTGAAGTCAAAAGTACTGGGTGAAAGTCAACTCTAGGATGTAGGTACATTCAATTGACGAATCGTAGATAAGATGAAATGCGCATCATGAATTCAACTGTTAAATATATTCTATATATTTTTCCTTTATAATTACCGATTTTCTATTTTCTGTTTGTAAAATGACCTTTCTATCCTAAAATTGAATGTTTTACCTTGTATCGATCAGAATGGTTTCTTTCTATTTTCTTAGATAAAACCACATTGATTATACTACGTGATTATGTTGATGCAGTTTTGTTCTCTGAACTGGATAGTTTGGTCGTGAAGCTTTCATCGTTCTCCTGAATGACATCATCAGCACATACTTCTATCTGTAGTTGATAATGTCGTTCAGAAGAACAATGAATGCTCCACGATTAAACCATCCAGCTCAGAGAACAAAACTCTATCAAAATCATCCGTCTGAGCTACAAATCTTCTTCACGCGATTAAGTATCTAAAGAACGGTTATAAACATGTGTTTCTCGACTTTCTCTCTTCTTTTAGCATGATCAGAAGATTTACTTGTAACAACAATTTTCTCATTTGTAATTCAGTTACTAAGCTTTAAGCTACATACCCCCTTTATGTATTCGATTATAGGTTATTGATCTTATTGTAAGTAGGGTTCAACTTTGTAATTAAATGATTGAAAGCTCACTATTTCATGTCCAATTAATCAAATATCTTTAACTTTTAAGTTCCATATGATATTTTTAATGGTAAATGAATGATTGACCGACCGAACGTAGTTTACTATTGAGATGAATCCATATTATATAACAGTATTAGGTGTTAATTAAAGTCTTTAATTAGCAGTTAATTAAATTCTATTTTATATAGATTTTATTGTGAATCTTATCATTAAAACATAATGAATGAGTATTATTGATGAGGTCTAAATTTCGACAAAACTACTTATTATCACAAGTATTCTTAAACAATAACTAGATTCTTCGTAGCATGAGGGGGGTATTTGTGGAGTTTATAGGATTTTTTCAGTTTACATGATGAACTGATCTTATCTAGATCATCATTGGAAAACTGGATGCATTGGACATTCGTTTCATTCCGATGTCGAACTCCTCAACAGCACACAACCACGAACCTTCACTGTAGAACAAAAATAGGATCAACAGAATTGTATGAGAATGCTTAATCCCTAGACTACTAAGCCGAAATCATGTGATGTCCAAGTCTAATTTAAATCAATCCACGATACTGAGCAATCACCTCCGATTTTTTTGGTACCTTACTCATACTTGATATAGTGTGAGACTGAAGATCCTAGGTTTGATTTCCTGTGGTGGAGTCATGAATAGCCACTACTGAGAAGTCTCATAATACAACGAACTGACCATTCGGGATTCAATTTATGAAAATTTACTGGGTTTACCGAAGATTATATGTTTTATGGTACCTTAACATTATATCGAGTTCATTTAATTTATTATATAGAGCATCAATCACTGTTTCTTTGTTACTGATAGCCAGCTCAAACTACTCAGCGACTATTTTCTTTCCGAATGTGCATTTATTGTCATAAATTTTCTTGTCAGTCGCGTACGCTTACACACTCATAAAATGTTAACAACTACAGTGATTGGTATATTGTTCTGTTCATCTTTCCTTTAACAAACGATTAGCTACTGAAAATAACCAATAATGAGATTTCTCTTCATGCAAATGTACAGTAGGCTAAATCAACTAATATCTACGTTAAATTATAATATATTATAAACTCATTAGTGACTAGCTTTAAGATGGATTTCCTGCAGTTCCAATGAGAAGTCGTGACCAGTGGAGACTAATCCGTGTCGGGTGTGAGACAGTTATCCACCTCAGACAATGGATGAAAGGTTGTGTAAGATCATGTATCAATTGAAGTTAGACATTAACACCGTTGGATACCGTCTCAGTGGTGAAGAGTTTAAGTGTTCGCACGCGAGCTTGAAGGTCTTGTATTCGAGTCCAGTGTTCAGTTGAGCCGTTATACCTGGTCGTATCATACATGACTTTCAATTCTTCGATAGGATTTATGTCTTTTCTGAACTGTAATTCTAATGCTTAGACTTTCGTTACTACTGTTAATTTTCACTTACTTTTCTGGAGTGTGGTGTTGTAATTCGGACAGTTGTAGAATCATGATAGACCTTACACAAATAATGATTTACTGAGTTACTGATAAGATCATTTGTGTATGTTTAGTGTTTAGAAATGAGCGTAGTTAATTTTGTTCGAGTTGCTTAGACACAAGACGTACTATGATACTGTCCGGTCACCTAAACCGATCAAGGTTGTCTTCTTAAACAACTACTCATCAACCCTTTAATCTAAAGGTCTAATCCATAAGGTAGTAGAAGAACTTATAAAGATCCCTGTGTATAGAAGTTGATGATCAATAATAGGTTTAGATACCATTTGTTTTCATCGAGATTCTACAATTTTTGCACACTATTGGTTTGAAATTAAGGTGTTCGAACTACTGTACATGTACTCTCCGTATTCATCAAACCGGATTAGGCTCCAGGTGTTCGTATTTTATCATCTCATTTCGTTAAACAGTACTACCACCACGAGAAGGCAGTAAGCAGGACTTCCTTAGTAGAGGTTATAAACATATGATCATATGAGAGCAGTTCGTGAGGGAATGTTGATCCTTTTCACTCTACGGTATACTTGATTATTTGGGGGTTTTAATATTTATTGACCATATGTCTAAAACATAATTTAAATGACTTTTTATCATGTTTGTAAGCCACAACTAGGATCTTTGTTGTAATTTGGCCACTTACAATAAAATAATCTAATCCTATGATCAATAAAGCTTATTCATAGCTATTAAGCTTTTCATATTCATCAACTTGAAAGAATGTAGAGAATTATAAACAGAGGTGGATAGTATTTATCAGTGGAATCCATGACGAGCGTTTCGTCCTATTTGGGACTCATCAGCTGAATGCATCTATATTTCCTCTTAAAATAATAAGACTTACTACTTATAATCATAAAGATTATATATTAATAATGAAAAGTGAAGTATCCATTATGTGTTTTCTTTTCTGTAAACATTCACTTTATTGAAATAGTAATGGTAATATTAATACTGTTGATAATAATCTTATTACTATGACCTTAGGCACAGTTGCTATGGTTATTAAATCCATTGATATTTATTTTGTAATTTGGTGTTTATCCATGTTATCACCATTATTATTATTATTATTATTATTATTATTACTACTACTACCACTACTATAAGGTGATACACTTTACTTTCTTACGGTAAAAAACAGCTTTTTATTGTATAATGGAGCCCAATTCTCAATTGTTAACATTAATATTGGAGAAAAAAATGTGGTGTTTTATTGCTTGTCTAGTTATATATTGGTTCCCCCCTCAAGTTTTTTTCAAGGTGGTCAACAGAGATGTAAAGATAGAGAGAGAGAGAGAGTGTGTGTGTATGTGGTAGAGGGAATGATATATATGTAATATAACACTAATTAATATGTCAAATAGGTCTGGACAAGTACTTCTTTTGATATTGACTATATTCATTATTCTTATGAATGGATTCATTCATTCATTCATTCAACCACCACCACCACCACCACAACAACAACAACAACAACAACAACAAAACACCATACACTTATCCATTTTCACTTATACAAATTAATATTTTTTTTGTATATTTGTTGCTAATTACTAACCCTATTAGTAGGTTTCATTCAAAGAAAAAAACGAAATAAACAATTTACAGATTAGCCACAGCTTAAGTGAATAGAACATATGGGTAAATTTTGGGGGTTATAATTTGTATACAATATAATTATGCTATAAACTCACTTAGCAACACTAGTATGAATGAGATTATAATTTATGGACAAATCAATTAGGTATAAGATAATTGATCTCGGATTTTTGGCATGAAATTTACTCATCCATTTGGTTAAATAACATCTTGGCATTTTAGCTAATGTCAGTTCATGATGATAAATTGTAAATCTAATTCCTATACTTAACCGTCAATAGTAAATCACAATCCTTATTCTTCATACTGTTTTATAATCCTCTTTAAGTTTAAGTAAGTAGGTAAACATTCACAAGGTCAGTTTGGTGTCGCTCAAATGTTGTCCATAATTTATCTATCTAGCTAAGTGAATAACGCGATGGAATTTGAAGCGAATGGGACTAGGTTCGAATCCCAGAGTGGACATCAACTCTCTAAGGTGCAGGTACATCCAGCTGACAAGTACCTAATAGGAGGAAACACACGTCAAATTGGATTCCACTACTAGTCACTATCCATCATTATATACACTTGTATTCACAATTGATTGATCACGACCCCGTGATCAGTTCCCTCAAGATTACAGGTACACCTTGCTGACAAGTGCCAAATAGCACGAAACCCAGATCCAGGATTTCCTGTTGACTACCTCCAACCATCATCTAAATCTTAATACATAGTTCCCGCAGTGTCGAGTCACCTACACTGTTGGCCACATTGCAACATGATCGATAGCATTCGATCTGCACTAATAAGGACTAGACAAGCATGACATTGATCACCACCCAGTGATCAATCAATTGTGATTCCATCTCAGTCCTACAGGAGGTTAGTCACGACTCGGATAGCTCAGTGGTAACGTCTCTGACTGTGAAGCTGGGTGACACGAGATCGAATCCGCCAGGGAGCATCAGTTCCCTCAAGATGACAGGTACACCTTGCTGACAAGTGCCAAATAGCACGAAACCCAGTTCCAGGATTTCCTGTTAACTACCTCCAACCACCATCTAAATCTTAATACACTTGTATTCTTTCAATATTCTAATTGATCAATAAAGTAAAAAAAAGTACAAATTATTATATTTAATTCATTTTATATTTTGGTTACAAAACTAAATATTCCCATTTTTTTTAACTGAATGTACTTCTATTGATCATGAGATAGAAAATGGCCTTTACCCTAAAAATAAAACAAATTTAAGGTCAATTATGATTTGGTTTCTTTCTTTCTTTCTCTCTTTTTTGTTTTCCTTTTTCATTGTAGCTTTGACTCTTCTATTTTTTTCTCTAGAAAATGTTCTTTGTTGTTAACTTGTCCGATAAAATTACTTTTTTTTTCTAGGTGTGCGTTATGCGTATATATCTATGTGTATGTGCGCGTGTATGTTCTGTGTGTGTGTGTGTTTGTTTGTTTGTTTGTTCTATGTATGATGTCATCTAGTCGAATTAGTATATAAGTATATAAATGTGTGTGTGTACAACACACATATGTATGTCAGTCATACTCTCTTTTCCATAACTAGTGAATTGAATCATACATGTCTGTTTACTATTTTTTTTTCTTGTTGTTGTGATTAATGACCGGTTTATACAAAAAAAAATTTGAATTGACCAATAGAATAATTGCGATATTGAGTTTGTGTCTATCATCATATCAGTCAGCCTAGATTTAAACCTAATTTGTACATAATGTGGGTTTTTTTTTTGAAGGTCATTTTTGTAATTGGTAGGTAGCAAAGGGTCAAAGGCTAAATATTATGGTTGCCAAAATATAACTGATTAACAGTAGAAGTAAACAAGATGATTCATCATTTGGGTGTTTTGTCCTTTTATTCATCCCAAATGTAAGGTCATTCATCTTGTATAAGATAAAGAATTGAATAGGGGATAAATATAGAATATTTAGATGAAATATCCACTTTTTTGTTGTTGTCTGTTGTCATGTGCTCACTAGTGAATAGCTTCGTGAGAAAATTCTCGAAGTTCTAGTGAGAAGCCGTGACCAGTGGAGCTAATCCGTGTCGGGTAGAAACAGTACAATAGAAGATGGTCGCGCAACTTCGTGGATTGGTTGAGGTTAGACATTAACACCATTGAATGCCGGCTCAGTGGTCCAGTAGGTCAAGCGTTCGCGAGTGAGACTAAAGGCCCTGGGTTCGAATCCCGTGAGCGGGATCGTGGATGCGCACTGCTGAGGAGTCCCATGATAGGACGAAACGGCCGTCGAGTGCTTCCAGGTTTTCCATGGTGATCTAGCTTCAATTGACTCATGATGTCAATCAAAAACTTAACAATCTCCACAGCCCTTAAACTGATATCTTCTTTTCTTTATTCTTAAACAGATGGTCCAATACATAGAAAGTGTTTAGAACATTGGGATGCATGTTGTGATTTCTATTGTCATTTATTAAATAATTCATTCAATAATTCATTACTACAAAAATCATCAACATTTGAAACAATTTCAACAATAAAACCAACAATATCATCATCATCATCATCATCATTTTATCAAATTTCAATGATTCACCTTTACATAAATCATTTATGGAAGGTTTATTTCGACTTTATGAATGTCCAGCATGTGGTCAATATACATTGTATAGATCATCAATTCATTCAACAGTATCTTCCACTTCTAATGCTACTGGTAAGTGGATATTTATTTATTTATTTTAACACATAGATATTGGTACAAGGAGGCACCAAATAGATATGCACCACACAGATCTCATTTGATATGTTTGAGGGCTGTGATACTGCCCGGGTGACCAAACAGAAGCAGGTGGTTTTCTTAGGGGGCAACACTCGGAGCCTTCGACCTGAAGGTCTGATTCACAAGGCAGTGGAGCATCATGAGGAGACGTAGTTCTATGTTGGCCGGTGACCAACGATTGGTTCATACGCCATTTGTTCCCTTAGGAACCTGGAGAACATGTGCACGATTGGTTCGGAATGAGGGTTTTCCAACTCTCCATGTCCACCAACCCGGTTAAAGCGTCGGACATTCGCTTTTCGTCCACTCAATTCCGTAAACAACACCCGTGGTGCGAGCAGGCAGTGAGTAGGACTTCCCTGGCAGAGACTATATACGCGTGGTCATGTAAGAGCATTTGGAGAGGGAGAGAGGACTCTCCCCACTCTTGGTCGGATCAGGGCATTTGGGGGGGTATATTATTCTTATGATGACAAAAATATAAAAAAGGAATTTGACCTTCACAATATTGTTGTCCTTGAGTAATCGCAAAAAGGATCAAGGCGTTAAAATGTTCTCTCTTACTAATTATTCAACAAAGGACTGGATGATGTTTGAGCTGTACTAAAGTGCTCTTGACGGACTCCAACCATTTCCTAGGGTTAAGAAATAGTTATAAATTAGCATGAAAAATTAGAATTGGGAGTTAGATGTTTTGGTTAAGAACTAGGATTACAGTCGGGAAATGGAGATAGACATGAGAAAAATGAACAAGAATTGGATGGAATTAGAAAAGAAGGCCCAGGACAGAGTGGATTGGAGAATACTGGTCGGCGGCCTATGCTCCATTAGGAGTAACAGGCTTAAGTAACTAAGTAAGTAGGATTACAGTCTTCGTCTTGAACTAGCATTATATTGAACAAGAACACGAGTGGGGACAACGGAATATATTTGGCACGAAATTACAGAGCATCTCACTAAAATCTGAGAATCATATAGTAAATAGTTAATTTGCCAAATATCAATCCATCATCTCAAACTTGACTGTTCCCTTTGCAAATATCAGTCCATTCTCTCAGATTTCATTGTTCATGCATTTTCATATATCAATTGCATTCTGTTTCCGTTCTTTCCTTCTTGATCTCCTACTGAAGTACATTTTATTCTTGACTATTGTTATGTACTACTTATATGGATATAAGTAACATATTTTATTGTAACACTGGATATTATTGGTTTGAATCTCATGGAAGGCATCAGCTGTCTTAGCATTAGGGACAAGCAGATGTTAAGAGTAAAAATTGATCGAAAAAGAATTTTGTACCACTTATCTTCAACATCTCAGCATCAAAACTACACTGTTAATTCACTTAGAATCGTCGGCACATTGTAGCTTGATCTATGGAATTCAACTAGCATTAAATATCACATTGGCTACTAGAGATTGACTAGTCAGCGTTGAAAAGAAAGCATTTGAAATTAGCTAAGTATCATACAATAACATATTTCGCGGTGAATGTAGTAATTTCTATAGTTGAGATCATTAGTCAACTAAAACTAGACCACCATGAAAAACCTGGAAACACTCGACGACCGTTTCATCCTATTATGGGACTCCTCAGAAGTGTACATCCACGACCACGCCTCGAGAGATTCGAAATTAGGACCTATCAGCCTCGCACGCGAGCGCTTAACCATTAGACCACTGAGCCACCCGGCATCCAATGGTGTTAATGTCTAACTTCTAGGTTTTTCATGGTGGTCTAGCTTCAATTGAATAATGATCTCAACTATAGAAATAATCGGTTTACTTACAAATTGCCAAGTTTTAATATGGATGAATAGAGAACAACAGCTGATCAAACTACTCATAGCTATCACTTTACAATAATTTATTAAGAAAATCATTTTTCACTCTTTTCACATTTATGTCCATAAAAATGTATTTACTTCTTTTGTTTACAAATTTACTCTTATTCAAGGACATTGTTGTCATGAAATAGGATCATCTGATAATCATTATGCTGTAAACAATTTGTGCGCACCTACGTAGATACATGCACACACATATATAGATATTTTTATGTTGTATGTGTGTGTGTGAGAGAGAGAGCGTGAGAGAGGGGGGAGTAGCATAGTCAAATATGCAAACAATGGAAGTAATCACCTTGAGAAAAATATATTGACGTTTACCTAGATAAGGTAACAAGATAGAAATGATGTGTTTCTGAGTTAGATACTTTGTCATTCACCAGAAATCTTTTTTTAATACCTAATTATCATCCTGTCAGAGATGTGAATGGTTTTCCGACCTAAAAAGTACAATATTTTCTGAAGAAGGTTATTGTTTATAATATTTAGCTTCGAACATTATATACATATGTTGCAAATTCATTTTTATGGTCCTTTTGTGGTTTTTGAACCAAGCTACGAATTCCCTGGTATGGCCGAGGGTGGGAAGAGTCAGCTCTTCCTCTTGAAGAGTTCTTAACTGACCACGCGTATACAGCCACTGTCCTATTCACTATAATCTCGCAGCATTACTGTTGTTTATGAAATTGAGAAGACGAAAAGTGAATGCCAGGCGTTTTAACCATGTTGGTGGATACAGAGGACCCATCTAAGGGAGTTGAAAAACCCTCATTCCAAACCAATGGTGCGCATGGGGTCCAGTATCCTGAAGGAAGAAACGGGGTACGAACTTATTGTTGGTCATCGGCTACCATGTGACTGCATCTCCTTACGTTGCTCCACTGCTTTGTGGATTAGACCTTTAGGTCGAAGGCTCGGGGTGTGACTCCTTGAGAAAATCACCTGCTCCGGTTTGGGCACCCGGACACTATCACAACCTACACACAAATCAAGTGACTTATGTGGCGCATGTGCATTCGATGCTCCTTTGCACTAATATTTTTGTGTTCAAATAAATAAATAATGAACAAAGGTCAGTCCAAAGAAACTTTCCAACTGTGCTATATCAAATACTTCGTTAAACTTAAAAAATTATCAGCATGGGGATAAGTGTAGATTGTAGTTATTTTAATAGTTGAATTCATAAGTCGATGTAAGCTCGACCACCATTGAAAACCTGTAAACACTGGACAACCGTTTCGTCCTAGTATGGGACTCTTCAGTAATACACATACACGATCCTGAATATCGGGTTCAAACCAAGGACCTTTGGTCTCGCTTGAGAACACTTAGGCTCTACACTACTGAATAAGTATCCAACAGTGTTAGTGCGTACTTTTAGGAGTATTTCTAATGACGTAATCAAATATGAAATAAAGTCCTAGTAACAAAAATACTGCGTTTTAAAGGGGATAAAATTTATGTAACCTAGATTTTGTAAATTTGATTTAATGTTTATCAGATTTAATAAGATAAGTCTATTCGTGTATCATTCCGTGTACTAGTTATTTTCCATTTGTTTATAATTTGTCATGAATTGGATCAAACAATTTTAATGAACTCATTAGAATGATCATAAGCTATTGTATTGAGATCATATGATCTAACTATCTTATGATTTAACTAATGAAAACAATGAGATCTATTCTTGGTGTTGATGATTCCACATGTGGATTTGTATGCATGACTACATGTGGATATTGTGGAGACTTTCACACACACACACACACACACAAGGACAACTATATAAATAGAGAACCATACATCCTTATGATATAAACATGATTCCTAAATCCGACCATTTTGTTTCTTCTTTCATTGAAAGAAAGTTCGATAATATCATTTATTGAAGAGAATACAGTAGAGGGTCGAACTTAAAACAATCGCGATGAATTTTCAGTCAGCTCCTAATCAGTTAGGAGATAGTTTTTATAAGTGAGAGAAATTTTATATCGTTAACGGATCTATCATGTCTTTCACACATAAATTCATTCTTATGAATATAGATTGTCGATCTTCTCGAACTCTTGAAATGTTTCGAAAAGATTTTCAAGAATCTCTATATTTGTAAAAATGCATAGTGGCTAGCACTGGAATCTAAGATGCGCGTTTTGTCCTATTTGGGACTCGTCAACTGAGTGTAGCCTGAGGGGAGATCAATTCTGAGGTTGTTATATCCAGCTGACGAGTCTTGAGATAGGACGAAACGCTCGTCCTGGATTTCACTGCTAACTACTATCCATCGTTACATATAATGCTTGTGAATTAAGGCAATATCGAAGCAATGCGCACAGTATGCACATATGCCAATAAGAGACTGATCAATTACAGTCCTAAATATTAATGAGAAGATTCAAGTAAACAATACCAAGTGAATTTACTTCCCATATTGTTCTTAATTCGGATTAGAATTAGGGGTTAAGCGTTGGGGTTTTTATCATGAATCGATATCACTTATAATGGGAAAATGTTATGTAGCCTCATGAATGAGTGAATTTCTCTGAGAATTACAAGAAGTATTATATAATTTGTTTGTCCTTAAAACAGAGTGCAACCAAGTTAATGTTTGTCTCAGGATTTAGTAAGTGAGTACTTCATATATGAGGATAGTTCTCATTGAAGATTTCATTTTATTCATTTGGAGCTATCCAGATATGATTTTTATGAGCACACCACTGTTTTACATCCCAACTTGTCGAATGGAAGCATAAGCAAAGGGAAAGCAGGAGCTGGAAATCAAATCCTCAGTGAAGATTTCGCTCTCATATGAATGAATGGGAAAATGACTAATAAATATTTGATACCTAATACATATTGAACACTGAATATTGAATGGGCTAAACATTTACGGACTCGTATCTTATCTCCTCCTCATTATAAATGATACTTGAATTTCACTCATAAACCTAAAAAGGTGCATTCTCGATCGTGATTGGCTAGTCTCTATACTACAATATACTCTATCCTATACTTATAAGTCAAGAATTGATTAGAGTTGAAGTCGCACCATTAAATACCAACCCATTAGTTCTAATGATTAGGCATCCGCTGTGAGATTAAACGGTCTTCGATTTAATCCCTGGGGGTGGGGTGGGGTTTCTGGATGTGCGTCTCCGAGGAGTCCTAAACTAGAACAAAACAGAAATTCAGCGTTGAGTTCTGGACTCGAACCTAGTATTTTCTTATTTTAAGCACTAACGGATTATCAAGATTCGAGTTGAACATCGACAACGGGATACAGTCACATTCAGTTGACTAGTAGTCCCACTAGACGAATATTACTCTGGTCACCATTAAGTGATCAATCAATTGTATGATGATGAAATTTTTCTAATCTCAGTTCGTGTATTTATCAGACCGATCACATACACGTATATATCTTGTTAATGCTTATCATTAGTTTGAAGTTTATTTAATTTTGTTATCATAAGAATAAGGAGTTTCATTGTTTTACTGATTCACAGGTCAGACATCACAAACATTATCGTCTACAACATCTAATCATTTTACAAGTGTTTTATGCGCTATTCAATATGCTACTGAAAAATTAAATCAATCTGAAAATTCAATTCAATCAACATTATTACACTCTGATCCATATTCACAATGTAAACAATATACTTCAAATTCACCAGTGAATTATATTGGATCAATGGAATTATCACCAAATTTCTTAGATGATTTAAAATCTACATCGAAAATACCCATAACAAATTCATCGACAACGGTAAGGTCACATTCCTATGTTCAACAACCACTGATTACGGATCGATTCAATGATATTTTAAGGTAAGTCAGTTTAGTAGTAGTAGTAGTAGTAGTAGTAGTAGTAGTACTACTACTACTACTACTACTACTACTACTACTACTACTACTACTACTACTACTACTACTACTACTACTACTACTACTACTACTACTACTACTACTACTACTACTACTACTACTACTACTACTACTACTACTACTACTACTACTACTACTACTACTACTACTACTACTACTACTACTACTACTACTACTACTACTACTACTACTACTACTACTACTACTACTACTACTACTACTACTACTACTACTACTACTACTACTACTACTACTACTGTAGTGAACGTGAACATCATTAGGGACAACCAAACATATTTGAACACAACATTACAGAATCTCTTAGTAAAATCTAACAACCATATAATAAATACTTCATTTGCAAAATATCCATCAATTGTCTCAGACTTGATTGTTCCTTCATTTCTCTATCAACCATCCTCTGTTCTCGTTCTCTCTCATTCTCGTTCGATTTTCTCAACCTTATGCCCTCAGGCATTCCACTTTCGATTGGCGATACATGTTATTTATATCTGTGGGCATCAATAGCATACACCACACTACTACTGCAATAACCGTGATAATAATAATAATAATGTTGTCATAAAGTTTTACTGAAGTCAATCAAATGTACAGTTCAGTTCATAATGAATTGGTATTTATCCAGCTGACTGGGTGTTATAGTTTTTTTCATTTATTGAACTATAATGAAGTATGTAAGATTATTATGGGATGTAGGTCATTTAATCACGTAATGAATTTGGGATGAAATCTATTTAAAGACTCATTGAATACATGGAATAATGTTAACATGTAATAACAATCATAATAATTTACAGTATCCAACAATATACAACTTAGATGAGTCCTATTTAGTTATTTATTTGAACACATAGATATTGATACAAGGAGGCACCAAATAGATATACGTCACACAAGTCACTTGATTTGTATGTGGGCTGTGATACTTCCCCGGGTGTCAAAACCGAAGCAGGTGGTTTTCTCATGGGGCCACACACGAAGCCTTCGACCTAAAGGTACAATCCACAAGGCAGTGGAGCAACGTCAGGATATGTGGTTCTATGTTAGCCGGTGACCAACGATCGATTCATACACCATTTGTTCCTTCAGGATTCTGGAGACCATGTGCACGATTGGTTCGGAATGAGGGTTTTCCAACTCTCCTAGGCAAATCCTCCATATTGACCAACCCGCTTAAATCGTTGGACATTCGATTTTCATCCTCTTGATTTCGTAAATAACACCCCAGCTGAGATAAGGGAGTGAGTAGGAATTCCCTACCAGTGGTTGTATGCACGTGGTTACTTGAGAGCATTTGGAGAGGGAGAGCTGACTCTCCCCACCTTCGAGCGTACCAGGGCATTTGGGGGCCTAGATGAATCTAAAGTCAGAAGTAGAAATAGGTATAAGAAATAAACTTTAGTTTCAAATAAGTTATAGTTTTCATGTCCAGTGGTTTGTGTTGCTGTGGGGGGGGGGTTCTCACTTGGTCGATTTCAACCATCTCATACACTGTGGTTACCGGGGGCTAGTCTTTATTTGAAATCATTTTGTAGTGCGAAAAACGATCTATTATACAATATTTATCACAGATTGATTTTAGTTAATATGCCATTAAAATTAAAAAGGTATTGGATAGGTGTTCAGTTCTAGTATGCGACTCTTCAGCAGTTGCAAATTGACTGGATTCAATAATGCTTACCATCAGGTCTCAGCTCAGTAATCTAATTGTGTCATATCTAGAGCTTAGATTTTTTATATGCCGCGTATAACTTGATCACTTGAACGTTAGAACCCTTCCAAGTCGCGAATGAGAAGACAGAAGACAAGTGAAAGGAATGCTATTCCAAACAGTGTCAATTATGGCGTAAAACTCTCAGGTATTTATAGTTTTTAGTAAGAACGAAATCATCATTATAGTTATCCAATCCGCACACAGAGGATTATTAGCATTTGTCCAATAAGGAAGCTACACGTAGTGATTTAGGAATATTCTTCCAAAAAATGATTGGATTTAATATCTTCGGCTCTTTCCGAGCTTCTTAGAGCTTCCTCAAGTTCACCCGTGGACCGTCCTCACACCTTCCCCCTTTAAAGTTTGTTGTGTTAGACTTTTTTCTCGGATTCACCTGAAACTTGGTTACTGCATTCCTTTTGCGGTTCATCACTCTCTAAGGTTGTACCGCTTTATCGCTTATTCGGAAATTTGAAGTTCCTACATTCAATATCAGTCTTGCATTGCTAATGAATCTCATTCTAAGATGAAATAACCAATGATACTCGAACTTATTGAATGAATCCTATTTGAAATTGTAACATTTGTCACTTTTCTTCATTTTGTGTTTGTACTTTTACACTTGTTTCCTTTCAACAACAACAAAAATATTATTTACAGACGATATTCATTAAGTCGTGAAACAAATGATCCTACTAAATTTTCAACTAGTAATACATCAAGTAGTATGAGTAGTGGATATCACAGTGGTTTATCAACCGGTGAACATACTGTTGATCCTAGTCGCCGTTGTAGTGACAATTCATATGATCAATTCATGTTATCAATGAAAGGAGAAGATATTATGAAAGGGAATGAAGATAATTGTATACCATGGGAAATTACAAATAATCAAACAGGTCAATCAATACCAAGAGCATTAATCAAAGGGAAACTACCAAGTAAATACTTATTATTTTATGATATTCTATTTATTCCGTATAAATTTTGTTGAAGTTAGACATCAGTGCCGTTGGATACCGGCCGGCTCAGTGGTCTAGTGGTTAAGTGCTCGCGTGCGACACTGTTAGGTCCTGGTTTCGAATCTCGCAAGGCGAGATCGTGGATGCTTACTTCTGAGTAGTCCCACAATAGAACGAAACGGCCGTCGAGTGCTTCCAGGTTTTCCATGGTGGTCTAGCTTCAATTGACTCATGAATCCAACAATTAAATTATTCTGTATATATTCGATCGTGATGAGTATTATATTTTGTTGTTCGGTTCAGCCATCCATTAACAATTCAATAACTATCTATGAAAAGACAAAAGTTTATGATGATTGTGTAGAAAGTTCTGTTCCCAAAGGTTGAATAATAATGTGCACAACTCATGAGCATATATAATTGGATTCGTCAAGGCAAGGATTTGCGTGATCGGGATGACCTTGATTAAGTGAATAATACGTCAATTGACAGTAGTCCCTCAACACTTGAATCTCTTACCTACCATGTAGCTATGTGATAGCAGGTGATCTGTCTAAGTTCCTTAGTATGTTATATCTCTCTTTTTAAAAAAAAGATGATATGGGTGAAGACAATTAGCACCAATTTCAAATCCTAGATTTTCAAGTTGATGACATTTATCAATGAAGCACCTCTGAAATCATAAGGAAAGTGACGCTTCATCAAAGGTTCAAATCATCATTTGCGAAGAAAATAGCTCAACAATAAGGCATTTAACTTTCTTATTGGTTGGTATGCATTCGATTCGTTGAAACACAGTAAATTACTACAAATCATTCAGATGAGCTTCACAAGTCTAAACTTCATTTACCCTGTACTTATTACTGCTTACTCAGTGATTTCACTACACAAGAGTAATACATTGAAAGCATCTCTGATTAAATACTAGCAACCTGTCTTCAAAAATGCAGCTTTACAGGTATATAACATTACGGAAAGAATTTTTGTTTGGTATTTCTCTGTTTCATAAGGTAGACAGACATTTCATCTTACATTTAGGAATGATTTGTAACTATATCAGGATTTCATTACTCACTAACCAATCAGAGTCGATAGGACTTCCAAGATAAATGAAATATTTTAATAGTTGGATTCATGAGTTGATATAAGCTAGACTACCACTGAAAACCTGGAGGCGCTGAATGATCGTTTTGTTCTAGTGTGGCATTACTCAGCAGTGCATATTCACAATGCCACATACGGGACTCGAACCCAGGGCATTCAGTCTTACGTGTGAATACTAAAGCTCTACACCATGGAGACGGTATCCAACGGTGTTAATGTCTAACTTCAATCGATACATGATCTTGCATTACCCTTCATCCATTGTTTGAGGTGAATGACTATCTCACACTGGACACGGATTAGGCACCACTGGTCAAGACTTCTCACTAGAACTGCAAGAAATCCATCATGAAGCTAGTCACTAGTGAGCATATGATGAAATGAAATAGCTGACTCATTCCCATTTGAATAACTTTCAGCGAAATCACAGCTGCAGACGTTACAATTAGTAATGTTATTAGTCTAATGAGTAGTTTCATGAGATTATAAAAGATGATTGAATACACGATTTGAGAGATTATTGTCAAATATAATTGATAAATCTTGAATGCGACTTACAGTGTTTTTTTAAAATTTTTTTTGTCTATCGTTTCGTCAATTCAATAACAAAGACGATGCAACTATGTTAAATGATGTTATCAAGTATTCGATTGATTCATCTATGCCAACAACAAGAAAGAGTTATTCATCAACTGTAAACTTGGATGATCTTTTTGATAGAAGTTTAGATACTACTGTGAATAACAATACGACTAATAACAATGACAACAACAACAACAACAATGTTGGTAACACTAATCTTATGAATAGACCACTTTCAGCGATTGGTAGTCGACGTCATCATTCTACATCTGATGGTTCTGGAAATATCAGCTCTTCAACTGTTGGAGGTACTACTAATACTACGACGACTACTACTACTACTATTACGACGACGACTACAAATACTTCTTTTCATCATAATGTTAAATCCAATCCTTCATGGTCAAATGATTCAATCGGTAAATCAAGAATGACACATTGGCATGGTAATAGTAATATTGAGACGAAAATAAAAAAGGTTGTTAATACCAAAGGAAATATATTTCTACAAAGGAATGATTTCAATGTATTCATGGTTAGTTGTTTAATGATAATAATCAATAATGAATGAATTATATCATTGATGGAATGATTGAATCTGATTGAGGAACATTCTTTTTTTTATTATAGAGAGTAGTTTTGTTTGTTTACGGTATTGATTATGGACTGATAAAAGTTAAGATACCATTGAAGATCTAGAAGTATTGAAGAATTATTTTGTTCATTTTGAGACAATTTAACAGTGTACATTCATTACTTTGGTAAATATTAGTTCCAGGACTTTTGAATCCTGTCAGTGGAAGATTTCCAAATTCAATTAATTCAAGATATTCAGTAACTGTCATCCACTGTGATTAGTTAGTGACCATCTCGCTGTTCATATTGATGAATTTCATTTAGACTCCGTTAGCACCCCCTTAACTGATGTCAGTTGGAAATAAATACCCTCCATAGATCTGATATTATTTCAGTGAATCGAATTGAAATAAAGTAGATAACAACGTAAGTAAACTAATGATGGGCTGAAATAAAATGTGAATAAATTAATTGAAACCTCCTGGACATCTTGGTTTTCGAAGATTGTCGATCGGTTCAACAGTTTCCATATTCTCCAAATGCTAAGACGACAATGTTACAGAGAAATCATTCAAAGGAACTTTAAATCAAGAAGAAAATTTGGTGTTCAAAGAGTAGAAGTCCTATGTAGTTGGTATCATTTCATCCTAGTACAATCTGGATGAAATGAATTCGCTAATTAATGTTGAAAAGAATGCACTAGAAGACCGAACAAATCTACCTTGATTTTTATGATAATGATAAACTAGTATTAAATGATTGTAGCCGTTCAATAGGACACCTTGTCTGTTTTATTTAAGATTCATGGTAGGTAACACTTATCCTATCCTCAAAGTGTATTTTGAATCTTCATGCAAGACAAAATTGTATCACTAAGTGTTACAATCAGAGACGTTTTCATCGGGTTATGTTCTCTTGTACCATTGAAATACTTCAACTGATCAGTCATTGAGTATTGACCAATATTTGCATAGATTGATTAAGTAACAAGAAAGCTTTAGATGTGTAAATCCATTTGATACTAAATAAAGTAAGTAGGTCAAATGTGAAAAGCAGTAACAGTATAAATAAAATATGGATTAAATTACTTTCCGTCATTATAAAGTATAACACATATGTTACAATACACTTGTTCCAATGTTTGTTTTCATTTATCCATATATTCCTGGAAGTTTTCAGGTTCTTCAAATCCATCGCTTTTGTTTAACGTTTATATCATCTTCCTAGTAACATATTATGTATGTATGTGATTTATACGGATTCAGCTCATGAGAAGTTTCCAAGTCAATACAACAGGCTGATAGTTGTTCTAGTCATATTTGCATCATTCTTGCGGTGTACACAATCTTCACGAAACATTTGGAAAGCTTGAGAAGAGTTGGCTTTTTTTTCAGTTTGCACATTTTCTGAACAGTGTAGTACTTCTTAGAAGTGCTGGCTCAGTGGTCTACAGGTTAAGCGCTCGCTCACGAGATTGATAGGTCCTGAGTTCGAATTTCTCGAGGCGGGATCGTGAATGTGCACTGCTTAGGAGTCCCATAGTAGGTCGAAATAGCCGTCCAGTGATTCGAGGTTTTCCATGGCGGTCTAGCTTCAATGGAATCATGATCCCAACTATTAAAAAATTTCTTAGAAGTATTTGATGGTATAAAATAGTCATGCGAATTGTAGTTCTAAATTTATATAAAGCGACCTGATTAGTAGTAATTTAGAACACAAGGCTTGATAAATAAACTGTATGTTTACATTCAGTGATTGCTTTTCTCATTCACTCTTTACTGTCTATCATTTATCCAGAATGTAAGGAAAATCTCCCATAGAGTCATTAATAATTAATCGGTTATAGGAAGATTTAGGAAATGGTATCATCATGTCTTGAACAACTGTTCTATTAAGTGAATCATCATTATTATCAATAATCAGTTTAGAATTGTCTCTCCTAATTTTTCTAACTAAGTTTTTATATAGCTTAGTTCATGCATTTAATTGGACAGACTATGGTGAATCTTCCCATTGATGTTTAGGGCTACACACTGTGCATATTGCCTTAGTTCACAAGCATTATAAGCGAAGATAGATAGTGGCTAGCATTGGAATCTAGGACGCGTGTTTCGTCCTATTTTGGGACTCGTCAGTTGGATGAACCTGGATCTCAGACTTGATGTTCACTCCAGTACTATTTGCATCATGCTAAATTTGAAGCGGTTACGAGTCCACTTAGACTGCGAATCGGAACAAAGTGTGGGTGACCAAAGCCCAACAAGCTAGCTATTCCATACGACCCAGCCCCGTTAACTAGAGGAAGAAGTCCAAGCTTATAATGGAGAAGTCTATTCCGCAAACAGCCAGAAACGAGCAATAACAACAAACACAACAAAACCGTCCTTGGGGAGAGTTACAAAATAACATACTAAAAGACACAACGGACCAATAGCATTTAAGATTCTCCCAAGTGGGAAATACAACATGAAGGTGAAAAAAGCGCCTTCGGAGAGAAAACAAAGAAATTCAAATTTTCTACATAAAATTACAAAATTAGGTCTTTTCCCAAGTGAGTTCTGGGGATCTAACGTCCCCAACACTTCAAACGAGGTAATCCACACAGTATGCACATATGCCAATAAGAGACTGATCAACTGCAGTCCTAAACATCAATTGGAAAACTTAGGTAAACAATACTAAGTGAATTTAAACTTCACCCCATCGCACAAGGAAGTGGCTATCAGGACTCAGTAGCTAAATGGATAACGCAATGGCGTTTGAAGTGGACAGTACTGGGTTCGAGTCCAGGAATGAACATCAACTCTGAGATGCAGGTACATCCAGCTGACGAGTCCCAAATAGGAGGAAATGCGCGGCCTGGATTCCACTGCTAGCCGCAATCTATCTTTACTTATGATTTATATGACAATTCTAAGGAACATACTATACACTTTTCAATTGTTACATTATTGTTTCTCTGATTATACTAATGACATTTTACAAATTACCTTAATTTTAGAATTTACCAAATTATAAACAAAATGCTTATTTCATTCAAATGGATGATGACAGTTGTACAGGAAATGAAGATACACGTGCATTTCTATTAGCACAGTTAACAAATCATCGAGTTTCTGAAGTCTACTGTTTAGCATGTCAACAAATTCTGCCAATTTATGATCATTTTCCTGTGATAGATGGTATCTTTTTCATCAGTCCATTATGTCATCGTTCTAATGAAGGTCATCGTAAGGGTGGTGGCCTACGGGTCACTTGGCATACAAATGGTATACAGAATCAATCTGTTCAACAACAACAGCAAACTCATCGAGCACACAATGCTACTACTAACAACACTGATAACAGTAGTATCAGTAATCATTTAATTTCATCGACAAATGATTATCAATCTATAAATGAAGTAGCTTTGAAACTTTTGGCTCCATTAAAGATTATCTCACCACCACCTGGTTGTCTTGGACCTAGGCAACAATTAAATTCAACACAGCATAATATGATTAGTACTGGTACCGTTGGGGGTGCGGGCTCAAATCAAGGTACTGGTAATAATAATAACAATAGTAGTATACCATCTAGATTTTCAACAAATCATTCATCTACTAGGCAATGCCGTTATTTACATGCTCTATGCTTGAATTGTATGCATTCAGAGAACATGACGGCCACTGGTCGAGTAAATGATTTAAAACGTATTAAATGCAAAATTTGTAGTAAACCTTGGTCTGGTAAGTTGATAGATTTCATAAAATCAATGTTAATTTATGAAAATGTTAAACATCTTCAATTCATTTATCAGATACAGGTTAATGTATTGGGATTCGAGCCAATACTTTAAGTGTGAAAACTAATGATACTACCCTAATGTCTTAAGTGAAGTAAGTATTTGGGGGGGGGGAGTTCAAACATGTGACCTAGCGTGTGAAGGTTAAACCCCTTAATCACTGATCCGATAAAAGAGAGGGATTCACACATATAGTATACAACTCTCTTTGAACCTAGTAGATAGGAATAATATGATACTTTGTCTTATTGCTCTTACCATATCAGCCAAATTGGACAACAAATGTACAATTATAACAGTTGTTTTTCATGCTGAAAAAATACCATTTTGTGATTTCTAAGGTTGTAACTCTATTAGTTTTTTTTTGGGGGGGGGTGACCCAAGATATTCCCCAAAGAAAGTCCATAGGGGCGCTGAAAACTCTAGGAACCATTTTACCCAGTCAACATTAAGTAGAAGTCCCTCAGAAACATCTAGAAAGTGAAGAGTCACATATCACATATCTGATTAGATGATTACTTATCATGCTACTATGTTCAGTAGGATTCCGGAACTTTCCAGAAGTCCAACGTCATCTGGAATGCTACAAGTACCCTCGATTTTCTGCACATGAACTAACCTTGCCGTAAAGCGTTATTTCCATATTTAGATCCTTCACTTTCGTGTTCAAGTTGTCGTATAGATTTAGCCTGAAGAGCTTAGGAAACATCTGTGTATGTTGAATAGATTGTCTTGATATAACCTAAGCACTAGATTCGAATTTCATTGTGAACATCACCACTGGTACATCCAACTTTTGAGTACTAAATAAGATGAAACGAGTATCGAGGATTTCAGTTCAAGTAACAACTTAAAAATACAAAAAAGTAGTAACATTGTGATAATTCTTTCAGTATATACAAAGACAACAGAGATTGATCAAAATCCAGTATCGAGTATCAACAACACGATAATTCAAACCCTTACGAATAGATGAATATTGATATTTTTAAACAAATATTGCAATGAAATAACATTCATTTCTAGCTTGAAATGCTCTTATACGGCCGAGGATGGGGAGAGTACATTCCCCCTCTCAAAATGCTCTCATATGTCCATGTGTATATAGCCATTGTCAGGGAAGTTCTACTCATTATATTCTCGCGGTAGGGGTGTTGTTTAAGAAATTAAAGGACGGAAAGCGAGTGTTCCGTGCTTTAACCGGGTTGGTGGACACGGAGAGTCTACCTAGAGGAGTTGAAAAACCCTCATTTCAAACGAATGATGAACATCGGCCCTAGTATCCCGACGGAACAAATGGCGTGTGAACCAATCGTTGGTCACAGGCAACCATGAGACAGCATCTCCCGACATGCTAATGAAGTATGGCAACTTGGACCGATGTATATATGTACCTGGTTCTACGTTGTTGCTGACTGACTAACTGACTGATTACTTCATTGTGGATTAGACCTCTAGATCAAAGACTCAACGTGCGATTTCCTAAGAAAACCCCCTACTTCAGTGTGGGTGCTTGTGTAGTATTCCACCCCTCACACAAATTGAATGATTTATATGGTACATATATATATGATGCTTCCTAGTTTCTAATAGTTGTCTAGTTAAAGATCAATTAATTGTTTAAACTATGAAAAGATTTTCTTCTCTAATGAAAATTCATTCAGTATAATCAACATTCAGTCAAATCATACATATTTTGTATCTATCATTGAAAATAATAAGAAGAAATTGTCTATAAACTATTTCAGGTCAATTTAAGGTTAAATAGTCTGTTCTTGTCTAGAAACTAATCATCATGCCTGCTCTCTTCCTCTCTCTCTCTCCTTCCCTCTCTCTCTCTTTCTTTACCTTTATCTCTATCTCTTTGTAGACATACATTATCATTTCTCTGTTTGTTTCAATGGATATAAAATAAGATTCTGTCTGAAATAGAAATGAGTCACTGATAAGGTCATTTCTATGAGATAATCAATATTTGAAGAATTGGGGAAAAGTTACTAGTGAACTTTTTTTGGCATCATCATCCTTTAAGAATACACTGAAAGAAACTAGGTAATAGACAGACAAATAGAAGTGGGTATAATGATATGGGTTACTATTCAATGATCAAATCAGAATCTTCAATACGAATGTCAAAACAGTTCTACTGTATGGAGCTGATACTTGGAGAAGTACAACAACCATCATCAAGAAGGTACAAGTATTTATAAATAGTTATCTACGCAAGATACCCAATATCCATTGGCAGGATATCATCAGAAACAAACTTCTGTGAGAGAGAACAAACCACTTTCCAGCTGAAGAGGAAATTAGAAAAAGATGTTGGAAATGGATAGGACATACATTACGCAAATCATCAAACTGCACCACGAAGCAAGCATTAACTTGGAATCCTGAAGGGAAGCGGAAAAACAGAAGGTCAAACAACACATTACATCGGGAAATAGAAACAGATATGAAAAGGATGAATAACAACTGGAAAGGATTGTCCAGGACATGGTTTGATGGAGAGTGCTGGTGGGTGACCTGTAATCTTCCACGAAGAGTAACAGGTGTAAGTAACTCAGTGATCAAATAAATACAAATATCCCAGGTCTACAGGTGGTCACTCGTTCGTGGAATAGCGCAGTATTAACGTTTCAGACTATTAAACCGAGTAAAATGGATTCATATCTTCCAGTGAGGAAGTGGGTTAGTGTTTAAAGGCTTTCAGCCGTCAAAACACTGAGTCCCAAGTTCGAACCACACTCCGTCTACTGCTGTTTGAACAAGTGAATAGTATCATTTCCCCCCACAGTTAGAGTGTAGCTCATTCCTAAGTGCTTAGTGAATGAGTTAATCCAAACTTTTTAAAGGTAGTACCAGCTTTCACAGAAATGTTGTCACACCTCGTTCGAGGAGTGTATCCTGCTGGTTGCCTACAAGCATCTTTATATAAGCATAGTGCATGCCATCTCGACGAATTATTGCGGATAGCCAATCTATATTTGATATACAAAGTGGGCAATAAATACTCTACACATATGGTGTTAGTTGTAGTGAGGGCTATTTACAACATTGCTTGTAAATAATATGTTGCGGAACATGGTCTTGAAGTTGTTTGATGCAATGAAGAGTTTCAGTACAGAAAAATTACGGTGTTGGTAGGACACTTGTAGACTAGATGAGAAGATTGTTTAGACTGCAGAACACAGCAAAAGATGTAAATGGACGATTGAAGACTATGCATATGCATTATGTAACTTCTTCTAACAAATATGGATTCCGTTTACCCATTGCTTAATTTTACATTAGTTACCATAAATTCATTAATGAAGTTCAAACAATAATTGCTAGTTTTCAAGTGAAGTTCCTCAAGTGGTTGAGGGACTGTGTGATTGTGTGAGATTTCAAATTTACGGGACAGACTAGTTATTTTATTTAAACACACAAGGAGGTACCAAAAATAAATATGCACCTCACAAGTCATTCAAATTGTCTGAGGGCTGGAATACTACCTGGGTGCCCAGATGGAAGCAGGTGGTTTTCTTAAGGGGGGCTAATCCCCAAGCCTTTGAGATGAAGGTCTAATCCATAAGGCAGTGGATCAACGTTGAGAGATGCAGTCACATGGTAGCCAATGACAAACAATAGGTTCATACGGCGTTTGTTCCTTCAGGATCGTGCAGACCATGTGCACGATCGGTTCGCAATGAGGGTTTTTAAACTCTAGATGGGTCATCCATACCCACTAAACCGGTTAAAGTATCGGATATTCGCTTTTCGTCTTGTCAATTTCGTAAACAACACACCCATCACGAGAATATAATGAGTAGGACTTTCCTAGCAGTGTCTATATATACTTGGCTATATGAGAGCATTTCGATAGGGATAGCGTAATCTCTCCACCCTTGGTCATACCATCATTCTGTTTAAATGAAACCCATTCTTATTGTTGTGTGCATTAAAAAGAACTTTTTTCTTTTGTAATCAATAAGATTATAATGGATTATACATTTCTTTGTACCCCCCTCTTTCTCTCTCTCTCTCTCACACACACACATACACACATACCATGACCTTATTCTTGGATATAAGTAGAATGAAAAAATTCTTGTACTTTCCCCTTTATTTATCTTATTTTAAAAGTACATAAAAGAGAAAAAAGTTTTTCTTGTTGTTGTTGGTAAAAGCAGGGGGGGAAAGTACATATTTTTTTACAAAGAGATCTAATTATTTTAATCACTTGGTTGTCATGAGGTAATAAGAAAAACAAACAAACATACTCTCAAATTAAAAAAAATTAAATATATTTTCTTTCTAAATAGTAGTTTAGTGAATAAGAACACATAGGGGAACAACCAAATGTATGTGAATGCAAAACTACAGAATCTCTTAGTAAAATCTATGAACCATTTAGTGAATACTTCATTTGCAAAATATCAGTCAATCATCTTAGACTTCATTGTTTCTTTGTTTCTACACCAATAATTCTCTTTTCTTCGATTGTCTTAACCTTCTACCGACAGACATTTCACTTTCGATTAATGATACATACTACTTATATCTGTTGATGTCGGTAGCACACACTACACACACGTCTACCCTTTAAAACAGTCGTTCTTGAGGTGATTCTACTGGCTGTGTCATGTTCACCGTCAAAATGTCGAAACTGGGTTATTGAAATCCGACGTACACCTAGCACCCGGGATGCTCAACACTTGTGTACCAGCAACTTTCCAAGCCATCTACATTCAATTTCTGCCAAGCAGCCACACGTCCCACCGCTCCTCTCTGTCGACAGCACTCGTCAAAGCCAATGCCACCCGCCCGAACGGTCTACTCGACGTCATCTTCCTAAACCAGACCGCCCCAAGTGGCACCTCAGCTTCAGGCACCTTTCTCCCCTCTTGGTTGGCAGTGACACGAAATTCAGTGAACCAGTACACAAGTGGGGACAATCAAATGTATGTGAATACAAAATTACAGAACATATTAGTAAAGTCTGTGAAGTACATCGTTTGCAAAACGTCAATCAATCGTCTCGAACTTCATTGTTCCTTCGTCTCTATAGCAATCATTTTCTGTTCTCGTTCTCTTTTCTTTGATCTTCTTAACCTTCTGCCAGCAGGCATTTCACTTACGATTGATGATACTACTTATATCTGTCGATATCAGTAGTACACACCATAATGTTATAATGCGTTATTAAAGAAATGCAATTCAAATTCTGTAAAATCTCGACCTTAGGTCTCGCTCGTGAACGCCCAATCTACTGATCACCATTGCGAGGCGGTCGTTCAGTGCCTCCAAGTTTTCGAGGTCTAAGGTCCTGGGTTCGAGTCTCGCGTGAGAGGTCGTAGGTGCGCACTGCTGAGGAGTTACATCGCTTATAGCCTTCAAATACCCTGGTACGGCCGAGAGTGGGTAGAGTCAGCTTTCCCTCTTGAAGTGCTGCCACATAACCACGTGTATATAAACACTGTCAGGGAAGTCCTACTAATTATGTTCTCGCGGTGGAGGTATTGTTTACGCAATTTAGAGGGCGGAAAACTAATGTCCGGCGCTTTAACCGGGTCGGTGAGTAGGGAGGATCTATCCAGGGAATTTGGATAACCCTGATTCTAAACCAATGGAACACATGGCCTGTACGATCCTGAAGGAACAAATGGCGTATGAACCAATCATTGGTCACCTGCTATCATGGGACTGCATCTCCTGACATTGCTTCACTGTCTTGCGGATCAGATCTTTAGGTCGAATACTCCGTGTGTGAGCCCCTAATAATAACACCTGCTTCGGTTTGGGCACTCGGGCAGTACCACAGCCTACACGCAAATCAAGTGACATGTATGTCGCATATGTATTCGGTGCCGCTTTGTAACATATATTTACCTGTTCCAATAAATAAATAAATAAATGGTGATCTTACATTGATTAGTTCATGAGCTCAATTAAATCTCAAAAACATTCACAATCCTATACTGATAACACTATTTCGTATCTCAATTCGCTTATTTCTTGATTATATGATATACTAGTTGAAGAGGTTTGTGGAGATAGGCACGACATTCAATTGTTACACTGATCATTTAGGAATATTCTAATAAATATTATATTTACTTTTTGTTTATTCTCAACATTTAGGCACTTCATTACTAGTTGGTGGTCTTTACACTTATGATATATTTGCTGCTGTACCATGTTGTTCAGCTCATTTAACATGTGGTTCATGTCAATCACGTTTAGATAATTTATCACTATCATCCAATTCAACAATATCGTCCCCCTCCTCCTCCTTAACAACAACAAATACTACAACAACTACAAGTACATTACAATTATCATCAAATGATCTACCTCATCAACATCAATATCATGATCAAAATCAATTTCCAATCAATAATATTGATCAATCGATAAATAATCTTACAATTAAATCTTATCCATTAAATTATTTTAGTCAATATAGTAATTTAATTATTTGTCCATATTGTTCTAAAGTGGATTATCATTTTGTTAAATTATTTGAAGATTATTATGAAGTTAATAATTGATTATTAAAGTTCTTTTTTTTTACATTTCAACTTCACTATCGTACAGGATCATTTCATTATACTTTTGATATTTTACTTCTCAGGGTGTTTTACTTTTTTTTTGCTTTCTGTTTCAACAAGTTAATACAATCGAGCAATTCAAACAACCAGACAAACAACACAAACACAAACAAACGGACAAACAGCACAAACACAGACAAACAACCAGAAAAACAACACAAGCACAAACAAACGGACAAACAACATAAACAAACATAATTGATACTTGAGCTAGAAATATCATCCAATCACATAGTATTTTTTTTCATTTTTCAGTTTGACCTTCAATTTTTACTCAGGTCAATGTTTTTAATTGTCTTTTCTTCTTCTTCTGTGTGTGCTCAAAATCCATTTTATGATGAATGTTTTATTTTATTACTTATTTATTCATTTCAGTAGTATAATACATTTAAAAGAATAATACTATGCATATATATATATGTATGTATAGTAGTATATAATAATTTATATAAATATCCACTTGATTATATTGAATACATTGAAACAATGTCTAGAAACAAACAAAACAAAACAAAGTTCTTCATTTGTCAATATATGTGTGTGTGACACAAAGCGCCAAATTGTAAAAAGAATCTCCTTGTTCAATGGAACTCAGTTTATATATCTATCTATCCATATCTATACATATACATATATAATTATTTTTGTGGTTAGCGTTTTTTTAAGCGTGTTAATTATCTACTGGATGTGGTTGTTAACACCATATCCAACTGTTTTCCTTTATCCAAGCTTTGGATCAGCATTAATCCTAGAGGGGGTGGTGCCTATAAAGTCAATATTACAAGTCATTTTGTCTAATTCAATTTCTGTTTTAAACAACATATAGGTTTACATATTCAAATCATGTTCCATTCATTGTTTACATTATTTTTGTTGTTGTTAAAAAATGATGAGAATGAATAGTTTAAGTTTTTGTTTCCCGCCAAATGTCTATTTCTTTTTGTCAACGTTACCAATGTGAAAGCCTTTCATTGTTTTATTTTTATTAGTTGCCTATTAAAAGTAAATTGATTATTCATTGTTATTACGTCATAAAGTGTTACTAGCATTATTTATTTATTTATTGAGGACATGATAAGTAATGAAATCTCAGGGGGGTGGGGGTTTGTTTATGCCCATTTCTTTCTCTTCTCTTTCCCCAGGTATATTTATGTTGTTTTTAATTTAATAAAATCAATTGTAATTGTTATAATCAATTGTTTATTGATTTATTTTCTCAAGGTTAAAGAGTTCTGGCTTGTTTAAGTTAAATAATAATAATAGTTGGTAAAGCTTTCTGGAAAAACCGATAAGCTTATTTGGATAATGTTTTTCAATCAGGAGCTTATAGATGTCTTCAGTAGTGAGCTATTTGATATTGAAATTGTATGAATCTTAATACTAGGATTCAAGGTACTATTATAGCGTGTGTTACTTATATCAACATGAGTAGTATGTAACGATAGTTAGGAATAGAATGTATTTCAGTAGAAGGTCGAGAAGGAAAGTATGAGGATACAAAGCAATTAATATGAAAATGCAGGAATGATGAAGTCTGAGATGATTGACTGATATTTGCAAAAGGAACAGTCAAGTGTGAGACAGTTAATTGGCATTTTGCAAATTAAGTACTTAATGTATGGTTCTCAAATTTTAGTAAGGTGTTCTGTAAATGAATAATAAAAACTTTTATCCTCAAGCAGCACTCAAAAACGTCCTGATAGTAGATCAAAGAGCTATTCTACTCGTGAAGAGCTATCTCAAGATACCTATCACCAACTACACATTTGTGATTAGATAGCTATTTAGTAAAATCCGACTGTGTGTTATTTGTACTAAGTGACGATTTCTTTGAAATTGATTCTACGCTTATTACAATTTCCAAATGTAATACGTTCAGTTACGCTTGTAGTGACTCACATTTATCACGAGAACACGACTGGTTTAATAAAAACAATTATTATTATAACCAACTGTACCAGTGTTTGTTTTAATGTGCTTTTGTTTGACTGTGCTAATGACAGCTATATTGTGCTTCCATTCTTATACTTACACTTTGATTGTAACTTCGTGCGAATTCTGTTACGTTCTGTAACCAAGTTTGTATCCTGGCACGATCTCGGTATCCTTTCGATACCACGAGATTGCCAGCGAATATATCTCGATTTGGTCCATTAACTGTCTTCTGATATTTGGCTTCTCGAGGATTTCATGAATTTATTTGGTTATGTTCAACCTTCGCCTTCTGATTCACTTGGCACGTGTTTCTTTGTAGCGGTGTTCATAGTTAATCTCAACTCGACACCACGCTACACGCTCATCTATTTCCGCCTGCCTTGAACTACACTCTTCCGGGACTTTTTAGTTATAAAACCAATCTGAATACTGCTAATTACCATACATAGCCAGCTCGGTCATGAAATTTGTGAAGGTTTATTGAAAAATCGACATGTTACTGAGTAGTGAAACTTCTTCATGATGCTTGGGTTTTCATATCCGCTTCTGGATTTGTGGAACGTAGGAAGTAGCTTTTATCTGAGTGTTTAAAAAAATGTACAAACAGTATTCAGCTAGTACTTTATCTTTAAAAAATGCTGTTATCTGTTTCTACGTTTTGTCATAGCAAAGGCGTGTTGATGTTTTTGCAACTACCTCCTCAATCCCAGTATTACATATAATAGTACCTTTTTTTCCCCAATGTTATTGTCATAATTACTAATGGTTTGATTCAATATGATATGCCTTGTACAATATGCTCTATGCACTTAAAAGAAGGTCTCCTGAAAGTTGTTCATTTAGGGAAGTGCATTAGGCAGCTATCAATGAAAGTGTGAAAGCCCTAAGCTGTCTTCCATTTACTGGTTTTGGGTAAGTTGGAATATTTATCAGGCTATGGAATCGGTCATACTATCTATTGTTACTTCATTTGACTGTTTTCTGTTGTTACTACATATATGTATTATCTTCTGGCTGCTACCCGATAAAAATTGTTTGACAGGAACATACTCAAAGAGGACAACAGAGATTGTCAAAGAAGTGTCTTGATCCTACTTATTTTCAAAACAACTCGTTCATTAGAATAAATATTATTGTCTATGCTCTTTTTTCATTTTTATAACAAAACTTATTTCATTCACAGCTCAGACTTCTGCATAGCAATTATAATATAACCAAGTGAACGACTGACTGGTGATGTTTAGGTTATCTTGTAATGGTGCTGTCTCATAACTAAACGATCTTTGAAGTACAACACATAACAACTAAGGAAAGTTACATTCAATGTTTAAAATTTAAAGAAGGTGGGAAATAATGAGCGCAGAACTAATTATTCAATATGGCATAGCTTGACCGTGCAGCCGTGGTCACTTTGTGTAACTCCTTCCATTCCATATTAAATATATTTTTCAACCTCCAGCTTAAATTTGTTCTTCAGAAGTCCTAAACACCTTAGTGATGACTGTCACAACAGGACAACCCAGTATAGAGAATGATGTGATTCCACGTAAGATCCTATAGATTAAATAGTCACATTATGGCTAATCTGAGACTTTGGGTCCGTTCTATTATTCTAGTAGCATAGCGAGATGCAATCATATCGACTAAGATCTTGATCGTACAATATTCCACAACTCTATTCTCTTGGAGCAAATAAGGTAATTTGTGTTCAAAATATATCAGTTTACAAATACTCATCTAACCCGCCGAAACTTTTGCAGCACAATGGCTTGACTGACCTCACAGAAACCCACTGGTTATCTACGAGCGTCTTTTAAGAATAAGATGAGTGCGCAAAGATATCAAACGGTTTGTAACAGCACAGTATTGTGTTGGTCATTAAACACTCAGGAATGTCACTAGTATGTGACAACACCCGTTCAGCGATTGCGAAACATGCGTGCGACCTAATTAGGGGCTCACCAGAATCACAACAAATTTCAACAAATTGAAAATGGTATGCTCTCCCTTCAATATTCTTAAAAGAAGAGTAGAAAAATCTAACCTATTACAGGCTAGTCATAATACCCTCAGCACTTTCAAGGGTAATAGGAAGACTGGTGGATGATCAGACTACGACGTACACAGAAAAGCAAGAGGATTCATTCAGCGAAGTGTTCGTAGTGGTAACGATTCCTAACCACACGATCTTTAGACCCGAACATGAGAGAACTGAGAAAATTTACATCCGATATATAACGCAGAAAGAGAATCAGAGATGGTTAAGGAGGGAACAATTGTTCGGTGTGGCATCGATCGACCCTGAAGGTGTGGTCATTCTGTGTAATTTATCCCTGTTCACAGAAAATACACTGTTCTATCCCCAGCCAAAATACGTTCTTCAATACTGCTAAACGTCTTGTTGCTGATTTCACGATAGGACGCGTCATTATAGGCAATGATGTGACTTCCATGTATGATCTCCTAGATTGGGTAATCACGTCTTGACAAATCTACGATTTTAGGACTAGATCTATTATTATTAGTAACAGAGATAAGTGAACTGATACCGAGTTAGACCACGATTCTAGATATTCTTCTCTTGGCGAATTCATTTTCAAAGCTGCACAATCAAAAATATATACTTACTTCCCAAGGTGATAATAACTACAATTATTAGTGTTAATAATATCCGGGTAAACATTGTAACAGTGAGGTAGAATAAACAAAGGTTTCGAACGCTATTTTTTAGTAGGGAAACTTATATTAGTTTTTTTGTTGAGGACTTGAATATTCATTATGAAGATAGATAGTAAAATTATAATTGGGAAAGGAAAGCTCAGCATGATCAGATATAACGTTAAAATTGAGATGAAATGTGACCAAGATGATTATAGTAACAGAAATAAAGCAGATGGTGGCGAAAAGTCCATAGGGAATGTAGAAAGAGGGAACGACGGGAAAACAACATCATCCATGAAGCTCAACACAAATCCAGGGAAGGTCACTGCTTAACGTTCAGTCTTCTCATAACTTGCGGCCGATTAATCTGTCATGACGAATGCATATCGGTCCGTGTAATATCCATCGACTTTTAGAATTAGATGCTGAGCCTCAAGGTACGCAGAATGTAGGCGAGATGAAGAGTCTAAGCATCGTGAGTTTAACATGGAATCATATAAGGACTACTGCTTTTCCTGATTTTTATTAACGGCGTCCTAGATAAAACCAACCCTATGAACTTCAAATACTCTGACGATGTACAGAATAGATGATCCTTTGCAAATGAAAAGATTTCACTGAAGCTTCGAAAGAATCTTAAAACAGTGGGGGAAAGGGCAACAGACGATGGCTAAAAGTTTAACTTGTCAAAATATAATGTTATGAGCACTTAACTTCAGGGGATACAAACAACTTATATTATCTATGATAATCCTCTTATGATTATTTCTCTAGAGCATGCTCTTGGTCTATCGGTCAAAGAAAACTCGGAAACTAGCCCGAAACGCATTCGGAATGCAGCCTAATCAAATGCACTTTATCATTTTGTACGGATACAGCTTGGTTTGGTCAACTTGGAATTGTCTTTTTCGCTCTTCGCTTCATTGTTTTGACATTATGACCAAACAACCCCTTGCCTGGTAATTAGATAGCTGTTGGTTCTAGAAAAATCAATCCTCTGAAACGGATGCACGCATTCGAATCGTAAGACACAAATTCGCAAAAACTATCCAACTGACTAAAATTAGTACGGTCTAGCGGTTAGACTACTGCTCACAGGATACTCCTGCAGACCTTAAACCTCATCGAGAAAATAAAAAAAGAGCTCAAAAAATAAAAAAGTAAATACAAATATGTCTTAAAAGTGTTGAATATATGATATTAGTAGATAAAGCGCTGGAAACAAGTCTTGCGTTACTCAAGTGTTATTGTCATCTTCCTGTATGTTATACGTGTGTTTATCAATTTTCGTGTGCAATTTTTCACCTTGCTGTCCATTATTTATCTCAAAGTTTTCGATATACAGTAGTATCACGTTGGCATATGTATCCGCAGTAGATGAATTTTCATCACTGGACCAGTATTTCGCACAAGTTGCTTTCAGTAATGCTTATGATGAAGTAAAGTTGTTGTGTCTGCTAGGCCAAACAGTTTTCTTTCGAGAATTTACTAGCTGTATATCTGGGTAATCAATCTTGCGATCGCAATAACGTCCGTTGGATGCAGTGAGTTAATGATTTTGATAGTGGACGATTCCTGGTTAGTTAAAGTAAAGTAAGATAGTGCATATTCATACCTCATGTTCTTAGTTACTTGTGTACCTACCTGGAATCTAAAATTCCCATTAGGGCTCAGATTGTTGCAACAGTCATAAGACCGTTTTAGAATTTTATGGTGAATTCCTTAACATCAACTAAACCATTTAAAGTTAATGTTACAAGTCTCGAACAGTTGATTCATCAAAAAGATAATTTATCAGTTGGGTGCCACCTATATTCTCAAGTTGCAAACCGCTTATTCTGTATGGTGAACCAAATATCGAAAATCCGATCCGGAGTAGATTTCAAACTTTTAATCTAACAGACTAAGTCCTAAATTTCAGCATCCTAATTTTCTAATTGGTTCACATTATCGGTTTCCTTATGGACGATAATGAAGAACCAGTGAGTTGTGTAGGTAACTTGTGTTTTTTGGTTAGTATTGAGAGTTGTATGTTTGTGTCATAATATGTTTTAAGCGGTTTACTTTTAAAATTTGCTTTTAGTTGCATTGTCTTTCAAACAATGGGTACTGCAATAGATGTCCTAGATATTCTCGATCTGAATGAATCAAGTCCCAGAAAGTCTATGCTTGATAGAGAAGCCATTCTGAGTCGTGCAGAGAAGGTAAGTACAAATTATTTCGATTTCAAATGTTATTAACATTGTAGAGGAAAAGTTCTCGCCCTAACCCACCACCAAAAAGACCCGATCATGTTCCTCGTGAAGTTTGGGGCTTACATAGCACTCTTAACAAGTGAGTTTTCATCTCATTAAAATAACATCCTGATTCAAAAAATTATCGTCCGTTGAATTTTATAGTTGTATGTATTTAGCTATTAGCTTATCTATCCATAGAACTACTGAATCATAAACATCTTCACTTATTTTAACCAGAATTATGATCTTTATGTCTAGAGAATTGACGTACATATAATCATCAGACTGAGCTTTTTCTCTCAGTATATGTATTAGTTTTGTGTTTAAACGAAAGAAGTACATGCTATTGTTTGAGCTTTACAAGTTATTTCAGCGACTGGTTCACACTCAAACTCGTCTTTTGTGCGATCGTTTTTGTATAATGGTGTAACGGTTCGGTAAATCAGTGTCATGCAATTGGTTCGCTTTACAAATTCGAATAAAGCCATAACAAACGTCGATGCAGAATAACGTGAATTCGTCATATTTCGATGTATCTCGTCAGATGCCTACAACCATTTATATATATATATATATATATATATATATATATATATATATATATATATATATATATAGGTTAGAGGTCATTTGGTATAGGAATTCAAAAACAAGGTTTGGGTGATGAATTCATTAAATGAGATCTGGAGACAGGCAAGATCGATTGCGTGTCGTAGTGGTTGAAACATTTTATCTGAAGCTAGTGGGCCAGATGTTTGACGCCCTCTCTACGTACTTCAGTTTCCTTAGTTGGGTATCTTCGCCAGGTTTCACACGAGCAACCTGAGTGAAATGGTGTGTACGCTAAAATGTACTTGGTATGAGACAGAAGTATTCCATAAATATCATTTCTAAGCACTTTCCAACTTGTCAGTACATGGTTGTGGAGTTTGTTAAGCTTTATTGAGATTATGAACCGATCAATGTTATGCCATCATTCAAAACCAGAAACAAAACGGCCATCCAATGCTTACATGTTTTCAATGGCGGTCTAACATTGATCGGTTTATGATCTCAATAAAAACCTTTAAACTTGTTTGAAAATAATACAGTTCGTATCGCAATGTTTTCAGCACTAAAGTATTTATTATATATTAATCCATTTATTTATATCTTCCTTTGAAAGTTAACTGATAATCGAGCGCGTGTATAGCCCATTATCTCCATGTAATTTTTTTGATACATACTTCCCTTTATCATCGTCAAGAGAGCGAAAACAAAGACTTGAGAAGAATAGTTTGAGTTCATTTTTTGTTTGGTTCTCGTCAGCTGCTTACAACCTGTACTATTTAACAAGCTGACATGATCAGGGTGTAAGTAAACTTAATAGACTAAATAGGACGTAAGTATATATCTTGTGTGGAAAAACATTCTACAACATTGACAGGCCAGAGAGCTAGGAACAAGTGATTACGCAATGAATAAATGCTAATACTATGCGGGAATAAAATAAGTAAAGCTTAGTTCAGATAAGACTGCCAATCTAGAAGACAGTTGAAATACAAAGACTTGCTGATGCAATTAATTGAAAGCTGAATAAAATTTTACTGTTTAATAAAGAAATATCGGTCACCAAGACAGAGAAAGATTAACAACCATCTCCTTTTAAGCACATTAGTGGGATTCCTGAATCCCTATAGTAGTGGCTTCAGCAAGTTTCGGATGGCCGGAACTTGGTTGTTTATTATTCGCTTTGAAAGATTTCAAGGCATCGACGTGATTTCTTGTGTCACATTGGTTCTCTCCCTCTAAATGCAAGTTGTTGCTTCAGGACTGGTCTGCGTTAACACCTGAATTAAGGATAGGGAGTGAAGTAGTCGAACGCGTTGACAACTTCACTTATCTTGGAAGTCTGATCAGCCCTAATGGGTTGGTATCGGATGAAATCTCAGCACGGATTCGAAAAGCTCGATTGGCTTTTGCCAACTTGCGTCACCTATGGCGAAGGCGAGATATCTGTCTATCAATAAAAGGACGAGTATACTGCGCGGCAGTCCGTTCCGTTTTAATTTACGGCAGCGAAACATGGCCATTAAGAGTAGAAAACACTCGTAAGCTACTAGTATTTGACCACAGATGCCTTAGAAATATTGTTGGCGTCTGCTGGGATCACCGGGTAAGTAATAGTGAGGTTAGACGCAGGGTATTAGGGAATGATGGTAAATCAGTTGATGAGCTTATGAATCTTCATCGACTGAGATGGTTGGGCCACGTGTTACGTATGCGTGAACACCGATTACCACGACGTGCAATGTTAACCGGTATTCGGGATGGTTGGAAGAAAGTTAGGGGCGGCCAAACCAAAACGTGGCATCAGTGCTTGAAGTCACTAACTTCTAGTCTGAGCCATGTTGGTAGATGCAGACTACTTGGTTGGGGTCCGCGTGACTATCGTAACCAATGGTTGAAGACTCTTGGTGACATGGCTCAGAATCGATCACAATGTTGTCGGTGTATACACTCCCTGTCTTCCCTTAAACTAAGAGATTAAAATCGCTTCATATCTTTCTTTCTACGAACCAATTCTTTCTTCTTGTACTATATCCTTATTGCAATCTTTCTCCTACATATTACTACCTTTGACCTAACCACTGCTATGAATCCGGTGTTCATCTTGTTGTGCTGATGCGGTATGGCAACCTGGACCGATGCACATATGTGCCTGGTCCTACGTTGTAGCTGACTGACTGACTGACTGATTGGTTCATATCTAGTTGTTGTTCAGCATCATTACTATTGAATTCTATAACGAAACTAAATGAATAACAGTATAGTGCATTGTTTTAGATATCTTGAGCAGTCGGACGATGAGAACCTAAACGTTGTAGATATTTAATATTGATTAGAGAGAATTGTCTAAAAACTAGGAAATATGTACTCTGAAGCTCAAACTTATGTAGCTCAGTCTATCATTTATCCAAATGTTTGTGTTTCTATACTGAATAATGAACAATAAAGGTTTAATTCTTAAGGAAGACCGTAGTCTTTTAAAGTCACAGTTTTCTCACCGCATAAATATGGTGTATAAAGCTATTCTAAAACAATCTTTAGCTAGCGAATGTCCACTTTTCGTTAGTTTTAACTATTGACCAGTCAGTCAGTCAGTCAGACGCAACATAGAAATTGGCACATATGTACATCAATGCAAGTTGCCATACACCATTAGTACAGTGCGATGAAATTTTTAGTGCAAATCCCATTAATAGTGGTGATAACAGTATTAATATTAATTTCTGCATTTGCTAGTGGATTAGGATCTGGGAAATTGTGAAAATGAAAATATTTCACCGGAAACTAACCAACCAAAAATGAGAAGATTAACTGTCTTTGATAAAAAATAGATTCGGTTGCACGGCAGTCAGTTAAATGCAATGTAGAACCTAGCACATGTGTACATCGGTTCACGTTACCATGCAACACTACTACAGCGGGATTAAATTATCAGGGCAAGTCCCAGAGTAGTAGATGTAGTAGAAAATATTGATCATCGAGAAGGGAATACAAATTAGTGAAAGTAAAACAAACCGATGAGGAATTTACAAATTTAGGATTTGAAAGATGAAAACGAGTGGATGATGAAAGTCTTTAACAAATGGTTACGATAATCAGGTAAATCACAACCAGGTGGTGTACACTCAGGTACATGGCTCAGTTTTACAATCAGTGTCTTTCATGGACTGATATAATGTGTTGGTTTGGCCACTTCAAGCTCTTTTCCAACCTACTCCTACACCAGGCATCATCTCACGTCAATTTAGTTGGTGGATAGACATACGTAATACACGTGTTAACTGTATCAGCCGATAAACATTCACTACCTTGTCAAATAATTTGCTATAATTATCTATCACTTTGTATCTAACCTCAAAATTACTAACTCAGTGGTTCCAAAATATGTGAACAATCGTTCAACGATGCCTATAATCAGTTGAAGTCGTTCTAATTCAGTGTTTTGTGTTGTAAATATCCAATAAATATTTGATTCGGATAAGTATTTGTAGTCGTTAAACTATATATTTCATTTTGAGTCCTACTTTAGCAGATGTTTTACCGATTCTTCTATTTTTGCGTTTAGTAATCTTCCTCCGATTATGCCAACTGATAATACACCTCTTTATAAACAACCCAAAGCTGTGATTGGTGTAGGGCGAGTTCGTTCTTGGCAATGGACACCATTTACAAATTCCGCTAGACAAGTTAGTCTTTTGTATTTACATACTATATTGCGTAATGTTTGAGTGAGAATGCTGTCTTTTTATTCCTGACTAGTAAACACTTCGGATTTTTTTATATAGTTTCTCAGTTACTCAGTAGGTTGTAAATAGAATGTTGATAGGGACTGTTTTGTTTTTTAAACACAAATCAGCTCCATTTTCTATCAATTTCGGAGATTGCATTGTTGACTTATTTAGCCCACACTTGGACTTTTGTACTGTAAACTCGGAAGGCGAATTAAATAAACACGTACTCAGTAAATATGCTTAATGTTCCAAGAGCTGATTTAATGGTCTCCATGCATAAAATGCTAATATAAGAAACGAGGCTAACGTTTGTAGTCGATCATTCACGTTAAATTCAACTTTATTCGTATTTAGCTTTACCAATCTAATTAAATCCAACTAGTCATTGATTTCAAATACTTAAGTATAACTTAATTGTCCAAATGCCCTGGTATGGCCGAGGATGGGGGAAGATTTCGTCCCCCCTCGAAATGGTCTCATATGGTCACGCGTATATAACCACTGACAGCGAAGTCCTACTCATTACCTTCTCACGTTAGGGGTGTTGTCTACGAGATTGAGAGGACGAAAAGAGAATGTTTGGCGATTTAACCCGGTTGGTGAGTACGGATAATTCACCTAGGGAAGTTGGGAAGCCCTGGTTCCAAACCAATGGTACACATGAGCTACAGGATCCTGAGGGAACAAATGGAGTATGAACCTACTTTTGGCCACAGTGTACCATGGAACTGAATCTTCTAATGTTGCTCCACTGCTTCGTGGATTAGACCTCTAGGTCACTGTCTCGGGGTGTGGTACCCTAAGAAAACAACCTACTTTAATTTGGGCATTTGGATTATTGTTCATGCGTTTTTTAACGCCCCACTAAATTTGTCAATATTTTCATTGATAGTTTTTATTGTTGCACGTACACTTGTAGTTCATATAACAGATTAATTTTGTCTAAAGGAACATTGAAGACCAATCAACTCTGCATGGCTGTTTTATCGTAGTGCCAACAATGTGGATCACATATCCTACCTGCAATCGAGTCAAAGATCTTCAAATTTTGCGGCGAACATGCTAGGACATTTAGTTGAGATCCAATAGTTTACATTTTAAATTACTGTCGATTCGCAATACTTTATAACCATTATCCATTAGAATTACTGATACACAATCAATTTTTTTTTGGTTACTGTCTTTCGCTAAAACATCTATCTCAAAGTTAGTCAATCCACTATATAAATTACGCGTTGAGTAATCCCTTTAAACTTTATATGCTATTTGTACACTACTAAATATTGTATTACAGTCTATCTTTATTCACAGTGAAACACCGTAATAATAATTAACAGGGATGTTCTATTTATCAAGATTTACAATTGAATTAACATAGTAGATTATGTCTTGGATACTTCATTTTTCTCTTACTAGGATAATTTAGTCTTATATCATTGGAGACGAGAAAGCGCTGATCCAGAGGCTAATAAAGATTATTATTTTGCACGATACAACAAGGTAATATATTGACACTATGTGTATCAAATCATTTCTTAACTATACACTTTTTCAAAATAAAGCTAAACTACTTAATATCATATGAAGCATTGTGGTATGTTTTCTGGAGATTAGTTTTAGTATGAAAATAACTTACTTTTACGGATTCACATCAGCTCAGTCACTCGATCATAAGCAATATGTAATTTGTCACATATGCACCCACCCAAGCTTTAACATCTCATCAGTTCCAACGAAATCAAATAATCATGCTGAATATCAAAAGTAGTAGAAATGGTAATACCACATCAAACATTGAAAATATGGTTCAAGAAGAGATAAATCAAAAGCGTAACTTATGATGTAGGGTTAGATAAAAGTGAATTAATCTGCTCCATTGAGACCGATTCTAAGTTATGCTACACAACCATTGTTTATGATAGTCGGGTTGACCACAGATAGGTAATCTGCACCTAACAACGTGGCTCAAATAAACAGATAATCACTTCAGAAACTGATGTATTGTCACTATCTGGTGAAAATAAAGAAATATGAAACGGTTGTTTGTTTCCTGTTTGGAACTACCCAGAAGTGAATACCTTATTCCACTGCCATGAGCCAAACCTATGACAATCAAGCCCTGTAGCGGTCACTTTATTTTTAAATCCATAAGTCGATATTTCTTAGTTTATGTTTTGAAATCATCCTGATTCGCAATACTACGCGACGATCACAAATTGCCATCAGTGACACATGCTCCATTTTCCACATAGTCAAGAGTAATCCCCATAGTTCTAGTTATAAATCGTAACAAACCTCCGAGGTTCGATAGTGTGCTTTAAAAACCTAGTGTTTATGAAAATATCCTCTTCAAATACCTCCTACCGCTTGGTTACTTTTTGTATATTTAGCCATAACAGCTTCCAAACTGCATATTATCTGCTAACGTTTGGATTGGGTAAAGAAACCAATGAGGTAGTCACTTTATGATTTAGTACTGTGCAATAGTGCCAAGTCATGTTGAATTATTATCTATTGATTTGTCATAATTCCCTGGTGTTAGGTTTCAATAATCACGTAGCTTAGTGAATTGAAACCTTATCAGAATGGTAACTAGTGACAAAACTGTTGAAAGTAAAACTGCATCATGCCATATGCCTTACTTTTAAAATTCACTTACCATGTATTGTTTCGACATTTTGTTAAGAAACTCTACTGTTCTTATTTCATCACGTTAATAGTATAATCTTATTCTAATTCAAAGTGATGAGGATTAAACAAGGTGACCTATGTATGCGATATAACTAGTACACAACGTATTAATTCTAACTGTATTAAAGCCTTATGGACTTAGCATTTCTTTCAGATGAATTCTAACAGTTATTTTACTAGTGAAATCGATGTGTCACTATACTTTTCTTTTGTTTTACTCAAGTTATTTTCTTGTTATTTATGTCTTGTGAAAAAAAATTGGTGTTAGCATGTCACTGTTCCTGAATACACTACCGAAGAGTACGAAACAATGCTAAAGGATCTAAAATGGAGTGAAGAGCGTACAGCACATTTGATGGAATTAGCTAAACGTTTTGATTTACGTTTTATTCATATGAGAGATCGATGGGATTGTGAAAAGTTTCCTGGACGTCCATCTGTTGAAGATCTCAAAGAAAGATATTATGGAATTCTAACACAATTAGATAAGGTAACCTTAATGTTATTGTTACATTTCCCCTATTTTTGTTGTTAAAAAACTGAACTTTAAACGTTTAAGCATTAAGCGAGCTATCGTTTTTAATACACTGTAAGGCAATATCATCCGTATACTCACCTATTGTTGGTTACCGGGTACCACGAGACTCCATCTTCTGACGTTGCTCCACTGCTTTGTGGATTAGACCTCTAGGTCAATGTCTCGAGGTATGGTCCTCTAAAAAAAACCACTTGCTTTAGTTTTGGCGCCCGGTCAGTATTCTATCCTTCACACAAATCGAATAATTTGTTTTGTGCATATATGTGTTTGGTGCCTTATTGTACCAATGTTTATGTGTTTAAATAAATAAATAAAGAGAACATTCACACCGCTGGATACCGGTTCAGCGGTTTAGAAGTTAAGCGTTCGTGCGTACGACCAAAAATCCTGGGTTTCATTCCTCGTGATTAGGTCATGGATGAACACTGCTGAGGGATCCTATACTAGGACGAAAAAGCTTCACAGTGCTTTCAGGTTCTCATTGATGGTCTAGCTAAGATCAGTTCGTGGTTTCAAAATCCTAATGTATATATTCAACATACTGTTTTTGGTGATGTATATTATTTCCATTATCTGTTTAAAAATACTTCTATTAAATACATTTCACTGACAAGTGTCTATTGGCATAAAACCTAAGTGAAGTAAGAATTCCTACGGATCATTTCAATTACCAAGTACTTGTTTTTACGTTTGATTATACATCTTAAGGCTCGTGGAACAAATCTTTCACAAGGTCTACGATATGATGCAGCACATGAACGTCGACGTAAACAACAATTAAGTTTACTTTATGGTCGTACAAAAGATCAAGTTGAAGAAGAACAACGTTTAATTATGGAATTGCGTAAAATTGAAGCTAGACGTAAAGAACGTGAACGTAAAAAACAAGATTTACAAAAACTTATCTCATTGGTAAATGTACATTTTTTAAGGAAAATTTTATGCTCTTTGGTATATTTATTTCTTTTATTGTTCTCTAGTGGAATTACTTCTAAATCTTACAGTATATGTAAGGTAGTTAATGGAGATCTCTTTTATAAAGTCTATAGACGTTTAGTAAATAAACTGTAGTTTACGGTAATAAAACAGTGTTTGAAGATGATTTATTATTGATCACCGATTAGCGAATATCCGGCGCTTTAATCGGGTTGATGCAGAGGATTTACCTAGGGTGATTGGAAAATCCTCATTCCAAACCAATGATGTACATGGGCTCCAGGATCCTAAGGAAACAAATGGCATTGGTCATCGGCTACCATGGTACTGCATCTCCTGACGTTACTCCACTGCTTTGTAGATTAGACCTTCAGGTCAGTGTCTCGGGTTGTGGCTCCCTAGAAAGGCCACTTATTTCGGTTTGGTGGGAACCCGAGCAGTATCCCACTCCTCACGAAAATCGAATGATTTATGTGGCGCATATCTGTTTGGTGCCTCCTTATGCCAATGTTTATGTGTTTAAATAAATAAATAAATATTTATAGATAACAAAACTCACTGGATTATTGTCAGTTATCTAGAACACTTTGCTTGCCTTTTCAGCCACTTGGTCTCAGGTTCGAGCCCCATTGCACCTACTTTGGGTTAGGAAACTCTGGATAGTAATATCGTTAGCCCTCGTCCTTAGAGGGTAGCTCATATCTAATTACACAAAGAATGCGTTAAACATGAGAAAAATTTACATACTATGGAAATATTGATTGACTTTTTATTGTACAAAGTACAAAGTTTGTAATATTTTTCGTTATTATTATTATTATTTATGTAAAACGTAATGAATGCCAATTATTTCTCAAACCAGTTCCTTTTCATTTTGGTTTTATTTTGTAGGCTGACAGTGTAACTCGGGAATGTGAATTATCTGAGCATACAGGTTATGAGACGAATACAGATGATACAAATTCTTGGCTTACATCTACACACTCGTCTGTTGGCGGTGGTTTATCATCTTCCAATAATTCATTGTTAACATCAACAACACTAACAGGAAATACTGGATTACAACGTAAACGACCAAGTGGTGTTAGTGGTTTGAATGCTAGTAATAACAATATTGGCAATATTACATCATCATCTAGTCAGTTAATTGGAAATACAAATTCACTCATCAATACAGATTCTAGTTGTACTAATTTAACAGGTCTAGGAGTAGCTGGTGGTGCTAATACTGGAGCATCGATATCCTCCGGAGATATTTGTGCTTCGTTAAATTCTGCCTCGAATACAGCTAATACTGCACTAGTGAGTTGAAAGTATTCCTTGACTTAATTCATGTTATTAAGCGTTATAGGTACTTGGATTTAAGGCATAGAGTTTATGTGTGTATATAGGTGAGGCTTGTGATTCTTTTTTGTGTCCGTTCAAACTGAATTCAATGGAAGCTGGGTTTAAATCTACAACCTATGGATTGAAAATCAAGATTCCTTTGTTTCATAGTCTGAAGTCAATTTAGACAACGATGTGTGAGTCAATATACATTAGTGATTAATCATTGTAATGAAGTGTTATAGCTAATGTCAGGCCTATATAGTCGATGATTTCATGAAAGAGTCTGACATTTTAGTTTGCCCATCTTTAGCCTTCTTACAGCCTACACTGCTACTCCAATTAACACCGCTCGTCTAAGTAGACGGTAGTTGGACAAGTCTTAAAATTCAAGAGTGTATAGCTGAAACTATACTAAGAACTAAATGTATCCAGTGGTTTTAAGTGATTTGTGAATCTTCTCAAGGTTTATAGTTGGTTCTTTTTTTCTGAAAGCTGACAAGTATCACTACAATAAACTTACTCATTTATGAGAAGGTTATCCAAAATCTGTCCAGATAGCTTAGCCATAAATAATGTTGAATATCATTTCTCATGGTTTCCAGAATGCCATGTATGTCAAGTCATTCTTATTGAAGATTAAATTCTATCTTGACTAGTGGTCACATTGTGACTTGATCGATAGAATTCGATCTTCACTAAGAGTGATTTGATATACATGACATTGATCTATGTAAACTTGTGACATAATGGGTATATCGAGGAACTCTATTCAATACTCACATATGCCAACAATGAATGGTAAAGATCCCGTCTTAGATATCGAAAATTTTCCTCTTCCATATTGTGTTTCTGGTCAAAAAAATTTTGATTTGAATTTTCGTGTTTTTTCTTCTTCAGAATACACAATATTCAATAAACTTTTTGGATGTTAGCAAAAATCCCGGTGCTCATCTACGTAGTCAAAAGGTAAATGGTGTTTGTTTACTTGGTATAACTCATTACTGATGAATAAGGCCTAATTTCTACATACTACTCTTAATCTTTCTAAATTATTGTATCATTTTATCATTGTTTGACAAACCTTATTACTATTCAATGTGATTGTAAAGAAGCTATGAGTATGGTCATATCAAGACATGACATCAGTTTGTGAAGTTACTTGACTTTTGGGCTTTAAGTCTTTTAAGCAAGTGTATACTCCTTAATTGGCTCCAGCAAAATACTTTTTCTCAATGATTATTGTTATAACTTGTGACCGCCGATTAGAGAGCAGTGACTTATCGATCGGACCAATGACGCGTAAACCCTTATGAGCAGTCTAGATTCCTCATCGGTCCTGCTTTCAGCCTAGCATAGCCCAAACAGTTAAGTTCAGAACATCAATCTCAGCCTCTGCAATATGAATCATTATATATCAAACATACTGAGTTTATATACCGATCAAACAGACCATAACGTACCATAAAATAGGAAACAACATTTGTACAAGAATCAGCCAGATGTGGCTGTGAATGAAGTGGGTAGTAATTAATAAGCAGGACATAATTCAAGAATGGCAAATGGTATAATAATAGTTCATAGGTCAACATAAAGCTCATAATAAGTGGGACACGGATATGAATAGTTTAGTTACATAATAATTATACGATAAAAATATACGTATAGTATTGGTCCATAATGGATCCCAAAAGTTACCATTCATTATGCTTATCGGGACCTAACAATTATTGGCATTGGATAGTGTATTTACATTTCTTCTCTATTCTTATTTACAACTTGAGTTAATTGTCACTTGTGGTTTTTAATTCTTCGATCTCATTTCTTTTCTTTTTTGAAATGTCGTTTCAGTTAGAATCAATTCCTTCTCACTTGGCACTTATTTTATGATGATGTTTTATCTCTCACACTACATTGATGTGATACGTGTGTACTCGTGGATTGATACAATGTTGTTTCTAGGTCCTACATTGAGTATGATGAATAAATGGGTGAAATTAGCCTAGTTATCCTGATAAAATTCTTGTTTATAAGTTCTTAGTTCCCCCACTCTTTCCCTCTCGTATCCTTGTCGATAATTAAAATGTGAATAGCCTTACATGTTTACAATGTAGTGGACATGTATGATTAGTACGTTGCTCCATTGTCTTGTGGATTAGACCTTTAGGTCAAAGGCTTGGGGAGTAATCCCCTAAAAAACTACCTGCTTCGGTTTGAGAGTTTAAGCAGTATACCAGCTCTCATACAAATCAAATGATTTGAGTGGCTCATATATATTTGGTACCTCGTACTAATATTTATTTATTTAGACAAACAATAAATCACGTCAACATAAGCCAAGATTTATTTTCAATGTTTACACAGTTAGAAAATTGAAGTTTGTATAGACTGTCAATCCTTGGGACTGTTTGTAGTGTAAAAAATTTGGAATTTTCACTTGTACTTACAGATTGTCACCTACTTGTTTACGATCGATAATGCTTGTCTCACATCCTGGGACACGACTGAACTCTACTGCTCGTGATTTCTTATTAGAATTCTTGAAATGTCAGAACAAGATAGTTGTTGATTACTCTGTGATTTCTCCAATGTTGTATAGCTAGAAAAGTCAGTTTGTGGTGCAAACTAATTATTGAACAATTATGAACCTTTCATACTAATAATGCCCATAGAAGGCTGACCAGGATAGCGGGCAAATCTAGACGTCAGTTCATGAACTCATTGACTGTTGGATTGAGGTATAGAGGCGGGTGTAGTCTACCTATTCGTATTTCACGTGATTACTGTGATTAATGTTTGAAAACTTTCGGTGATAAGAATCCGGTACATTCATTCTTTGTCATTTTTTATGTCTAGAGTTTTAAATTTCTATGTTCTACTTCATGAATCAATTCTTTTTCGAATCATATTGTCTATGTCTAGTGTTTTCTAATACCACTAATACACTTTTACTACTTCTACTACTCTGGGCTTTGTCTTGATAGTTTCATCTTGTTTTACTAATGTTATGTGGCGACTTTGATCTATGAATATATGTGATAAGTTCTGTGTTACATATGACAAGGCAGGGCTGATTGACTGGTTGACTTATTAATGATTAATTTTGAAGAAAATTTCTAGTATGAAAAGTCATAACCCAATAGAATTCAGTCATTTACTTTTCATCATTTTTTTCATCAAATATTTCAGATGAAATTACCCAGTAATTTAGGACAGAAAAAGACAAGAATCATTGAAAACTTCTTAGGTCATTTACAAATTGGTAAGTTTTAATGTTTTTATCAGTATAGGGTCGTTGAAGATTGTTAAGTTTTTAATTGAGATCATGACCACCATTGAAAACCTGTAAGTACTGGACGGCCGTTTCGTTCTAGTATGGGACTCCTCAGAAGTGCTCATCCACGATTCCCCACGCGTGATCCCAACTTAGGACTTCAGGTCTCGTGGATGCACACTACTGAGGAGTCCTATACTAGGACTAAACGGTCGTCCAGTGTTTACAGGTTTTCAATGGTATTCTAACATTGGTCTATTCACGATCTCAATTTATGTTTTTACTTGGATTAATAACCGTTCAAATTGTTTTAAGAGAATTTATATATTTATATGCTGTGTATTAAAATTGACTTGGCCAAGTTTCGTCACAGGGAAAATTAGGTAAATGTTTGTATTTCAGTAAAATTATGCTTTGGCAACAAACCAATGAGGTTCGAGCTAGACATTCTGTGATCAACTCTGTCTCATTGGTATGAATTATTTTTTTCTGGTTAGCGTTTTTTTAGCGAGTTAGTTTTCTACGGGATAAGGTCGCTAATCCCATGCCCACCCCTCCTCCTTTACCCGGGGTTGGGACCGGCAGTAAGCCTGGAAAGGCTACAGGCGGAGTTACTTTGTCTCATAGTCTTTCTTATAAGTGCTTACTCATGGTCTTAAATAGTGTTGACTTTGAGGAAGTAGATTTCCTAGCGCAATTTCATATCACCTTTATCATTATGAAATTTATAGATTTACGACTTAAAGTCTGGTGAAAGATCAAATTCTTAACGAAATTACCCCAGGTTTTAGTCAAAAACAGAGGTGGTTAAACTAAACCGGACGAGTATTTCATTGGTTATACGTACTCATCGACCAATCAATTCTGTGGTATTTCAGTTACAGTCCACGTAGTTTACCAGAGAAGTTTGTGACTGTGACACTGAGTGATGTCTGTTCGAATTTGGTGTGGGTTATCAGTTCCTACAAGTTTACAGATACTCCTTGTTGCGACGAGTACCAACTAACACATAACTTATGTGAAACGGCAGGGTTAGCTGTCGGTCGCTTCTAAACCACTCAGCAGTTATGTTTCTGACAACTTACGTCACTTTTACTGTAAGAAGAGACTCATTCACTGAATAAACAACGAGTCTACTGCTCACTAGTTCTCTCTGTTCTACTTTATGGGGATGCGATGTAATTTTTAAAAAATAGAGTATATTCATACGTTACTAGTATTCGATCGTAGGTGTCTTCGAACCATTGTTCATGTATTTCTCAGCCACCAGCTTAACAGTTCTGAGGTCAGACACAAAGCATTAAGTAATTATAGAAACGCGAGCTAGTAAATCTTTATCAGCTGCGATGGTTAGCTCATGTATTACATATGCTCATCTACCGAATACATTGACGCGAGATGATGACGCGTGTAGTAGTGGGTTGGAAGATAGCTTGAAGTGGCCAGACCAATACATGATATCAGTCCATGAAAGACACGAGCTGTTAAACTGAGCCGTGTACGTAGGTGCAGATCATCTAGTTGTGGTGGTCTACATTGCATTTAACTGATTGGGGTGTACTTGGTTCTTTTTTTAATCAAATATGGTTATTCTTCTCTTTTTTGGTTGATTAGATATTAGTGAAATATTTTCATTTTTACAAATTTTCCAGATCCTAATCCACCGGCAACGGCAGAAATTGTTGAAGCGTATAATGGTTTACGTTCAAAAATTCTACTTTTATTCGATTTACGTCTAGCTCTATTAAATTGTGACTTGGAACTACACTCAGCTCGGCTACGACTAGAAACATTTGCTCCTAATAAAGTAATTTTTGCCATTTTTTTTCTGTTAGTCATAACGAGAGTGATTTCAAGTGTTGTTAGAGGTTTAATTTTATTTTATTTGGATACATAAATATTCATACAAGAGGGCACCAAATATATATGCGCCACACAAAACAATGAGGATTCGAAGAGAAAAAAAGGAACAATAACGAGCAGATTAGTGTAAAGTCGTGTAATAATAATAATAGTAATAATGGGGGAAACGGAATGGTACAATGAGGAGAAATCTTTCAGTTTGGGAAGAAACAACCATTTTTTATGAAGAAAGTGAAAGAAGGTTACAACAGGATCGCTATTGGCTTCTATTTCGAGCCATATCTGATAACGTCTCTAGCCACTGTGTTGCACCATCTCTCGGACCCCAACTAGGGAGTCGTGAAGGACCAACACAAGCCAGTCCTTTGCAGCTTTCTTTCATGCCACGACACCATGTCATACACTGACCACCTCTCCGCTTTTTCCAAACAGTCCCAGAGTCGGCAAATAATGCACGATGTGGAATTCTCTGGGATGACATTCGTAGAACATGTCCAAGCCACCGAAGTCGATGTTTCAAGATGGTGACACCGATTGCATTATCATCTGCGTGCCCGAACACACGATGCCGAACCTCTGCATTACTGACATGGTGTTGCCACTGGATGTCAGCAATCCTTCGGAGACAGCGATGATCAAACACAGAGAGTCGTTTAACGTCCTCAACTCGGACAGGCCAGGTTTCACAAGCATAGAGCAAAACTGCTCTCACCGACGCGTTGTAGATTCTACCTTTTACAGCCAGACTAACATCACGAAGGCGCCAAAGGTGGCCCAGATTGGCATAAGCCGCTCTGGCTTTCACTATACGTGTATTGATCTCATCACTCACTCCCCCACCAGCACTCATACAACTACCCAGATACAAGAACTTCTCGACTACTTCTATCTGCTCACCATCCAGAGTGAGTACAGGATTAGAATCCTTCCAGTCTTGTAAAAGTACTTTGTACTTCGAAGGTGCAAAGCACATACCATATAATGAAAATATAATTAAAAATGTTGTTAGAGGTTGGTGGACAGTTGTCACTTTTCAGTTGATCATATTCTGATGGTTACTTCTGATTGAAGAACTTGAAAAGGTTACTGCATTAGTACTGATGTAGTCAATCTGGATGTATGCATTTTCTAGGTCTAACCCACAGGAAACAGATATCCATGTGACATCTTGAAGTGTGACTTTCAACTAAACAGACTATATCGAGGTAATTTGTTCATGATGCATATGCGACAACAGGAATTCATCACTTACAGTCTTTTGTATCAACAACATGTGCTTAGATTAGATTGTTTCAACATATCACGAACTAAATACTTTCACACAATCAATTAGCTTCATTGAGCCTGATTACTGTAAATAAATAGATGTTGTTTAACAATTCAGTCAGTCAGTAACAACGTAGAACTTCGTACGTACGTACATCAGTTCGAGTTACCACACCACATTAACACAGAGATGCAGTTGTCGATTCAAATCCCGTAGTTGTAGAGGCGGTAAGAGTATAAGCAGTAATCGGAAAGATTAGGGTTTTTTTAACAAAGATAATCACTGAGTTCTATAACCGCTAGAACTTCAACTAGGAAGTTGGGATGAACTAGTGAATGTCATTCGTATACAGAACTATCTTTCATACTACGACTTCATATCATAAATTAATAATGTCAGTTTTCTCCATCCAGTTTCGGTATTGACATTTTTATGTGAAAGGTACTGAAACGATATACGTAAAGCATGTGCAGTCCATCAACATTGATGTTTCAGGATAGTTACATGAGGTTGGTGCGGGTTGATTTCACAAAAAATAATGGCGAGTAACTCTTACTAACTCATTGTATTCCTTAACGTACTAGCATAGAGTAATAACTTTTATCCTTGTAGACATACTTCCTGAAAACTATCCCTCTGTAGAATGTGATAAAGTTTTCAGTTACATGCAATCTTTAATCTCCTGGTTCATAATTGTGTATTTTAAGCTCTTCTAGATTTTTTTTTGTGTATAGTTGAACGAAACGTTTTTTTTTTAATGTCTAATTTCCTCTTTTAGCCATTACCTTGTGGACTTGCTAGTCTTCCAAATCCTAGTATATCCGAATCACCTGAAGATTCTTATTATAATTTGATAGATCCATTGATTTTATCAGCACTTCGTGTAGCCGACTCAAAACGTCCAATTCTACCGCGTCATTCACTTGGAGTTGCTGGTACATTGGCTGCGGCTGCTGGAAGTTTAGGTATGCATAATATGACTAGCGGAAGTAGTGGTATTCCACCTATGAATACAACAATGGAGAAATCAGATACAAAACAATGTCGATTGAACTCATCGTCTATTGTAAATTCTTCAGATAATGGACAGTATAATTCTAGTGGATTAACAACTACTCGATCATCTCCAGCATTGTCAGGAGGTGGTGGAGGCACTGGAAATCTAGACTCGGATAATTCATCATCAGCCGGAGATGGTATCGGTAGTTCACAACGTCGTAGAAGAGCAGCAGCTTTAGAACAAGGACGTGTTTTAAAGAAACTTAAAATTAAAGGACAACTTGTTGATTGAAACTGTTATTTATGGAGAAACAAACAAAAATTCTTTGTTGTGTATGTGTACATATAAATATTTATTCGATTGATCTCATTTGTTCTATCGTTTCAAAATGAAACAATTTCATAATAAATAGTTTTTCCTTTACCATGTTCTTTGCTTAAAAGGTAATTCTCATTACCTAATTGATGTCAGTTAGAAAGAATGGTTACCAATTAGGAATAATTTAAAAACTGTTTTCCATACTGAATTGAACTCTGAACTTTCAGATTTGCTAGAAACACCTCAAAATATCTTTTTATTCTTTGGTTAGGAAGTCAAGATTGTTATTTTAGACAAAGTTTATGATAAACTGAATACATGTATTCCTCATACTACTACTTCTACTACTATTGCCCCCAAATGCCCTGGTACGGCCGAGAGTGGAGAGAGTCCGCTCTCCCTCTCGAAATGCTCTCAAATGGCCACGCGTATATAGCTTCTGCCAGGAAATTCCTACTCACTGCCTTCTAGTGGCGGGGGGGGGGTTGTTTACGAAATTGAGAGGATGAAAACCGAATGTCCGGGGATTTAACTGGGTTGGTCAATATGGTGAGTCCACCTAGGGGAATTGGAAATCCCTCATTCCAAACCAATGGTAGACATCGGCTCCAGTATCCTGAAGGAACAAATGGCGTATGAATCAATCGTTGGTCACCGGCTACCATTTGACTTCATCTCCTTACGATGCTCCACTGCCTTGTGGATGAGACTTTCGGGTCGAAGGCTCCGGATGTGGCTCCCTAAGAAAACCAACTGCTATGGTTTGGGCACCAGGATAGTATTTGAAGTATTTGAAGTTTCATATCACGAACCAGCCTTCATTAGACCACAAATAAAAAGCAGGAAGTATTAGATACCTGTTACATCCTAGTACGGGACTAATCAGTAATGTGTATCCACGATCTCACAAGGATTCAAATGATAGTCACGTAATATCATGAATATACTTAAGTTAAAAATGTAAAGCAATACATGACGACTAAGTGATCTGAAGGTTAAGAGACTCCACTAGTCTTGAAGATCCTAGGTCCGAACCCAGGTGAGTGAAAGAGTCAGTCCCGTACTAAGACGAAACAGGTGTCTATTGCACTCAGGTTTTCAGTTGATTGTTTTAATCACAGCATCATAAAAACATATGGTATACCTTAGTTGTTTCATCCTCAGTGGTGGTCACCAAAGATTCCCAAAACGAACAAACCTACAATATTCATGTCTCATGGTTAGAACATTAGGTCATACAGATGCATTCGTCATATGTGCTGTAGAACCTAGAACATCGCGTCGGTGATTCAATGGTAGAATGCCCACCTACCGCACGGGCGCTCCAGGTATACAGCCACTGCCAGGTAAGTCGTACTCACTGCCTTCTCACACCACGGGTGTCGTTTACAAAATTGAGAAGACGAAAAGCGAATATCCAGCGCTTTAACCGGGTTGGAGGACACACCGAGTCCACCTAGAAAAGTTTTAAAACAGATTTCAAACCAATGGTGCACATGGTCTCCAGTATCCTGAGGGAACAAATAGTGTATGAACCAATCGTTGGTCACCGGCTGCCATGGTACTGCATCTCCTGACGTTACTCCACTACCTTGTGGACTAGACCTTTAAGTTAGTGTCTCGGGTTGTGGCTCCCTAAGTAGGTCACTTGCTTCGGTTTGGTGAGCACCCGGGTAGTATCTCACCCCTAACATAAATCTATTTCATGAATCTTTATACCAATGTTTATATGTTTAAATAAACAAAACAAAATTGGGGGGGGGTATATTTTAATTACTAATTTATCTAATAAATTTACATAAATAATAAAATCAATAAAAAATATATTCAATATTCAATTGATCATATTCATATCGATTTTTCGTTAGAAGAAATCTTAATAAAGTAACTGATAGAGATTATTATTATTATCAATAGTATGTTTTTTTTCTTATTGATTTTTTTCCTTTTTTCTCCTTTTTTTTCTTTCTTTTTTTTGATTTTATTTAAAATATCTTTGTTGCTAATTGTTTTGATAACCAATCCATATGTGATGTTGTTGATGTATAAACTCCAGGATTTAAACCACAACCACGTGCTAAACCAAAACTTGTTACACCAACAACATGCCAACGATTAGTCTCTTCTAAATAACAATAAAGACCGCCACCACTATCACCTGCACATGTATCCTAAGGATTCAAATTATAAAAAAAAAGAAACGAAAAGAAAAACAGTTGCTCAATTGAATAGAAAATCAGTAGATATTCAAGAAGGAATAAGTATATGACGAAGAGTATGAAGAAATGTCAACAAGTTAATCATCATGTTCAGGGATTTAGAGATTGATCGTTTGCATATAAGACCGAAGGTCATGGGTTCGAGTCGCGTGTGCGGAATCATGGATGCGTACTGCTAGAGTTCGGTCCAAGTACGCGGGCAGTATCACAACCCACATACAAATCAAGAGGCTTATTTGTGTGGCGCCTATGTATTCGATGCCCCTTTGTAACAATATTTATGTGTTCAAATAAAATAAATAGTAAATAAAACATTGAACCTATTCAAATATACTACTCATAGTTTAATAAGTAACACAAATGTGTTCATCCCAATTTACTTTTTTTTATATGACATGGTAAAATATAATAAAATAATATAGTATCATTTATGCAAAATGTTGCTTCAGGATTGGGCTGCATCGGCACCTGAACTAATGATAGGGAGTGAAATAGTTGAGAGTGTCGTCCACTTCACTTATCTTAGGAGTCTCATCAGCCTTTGTGGTCTGATGTGTAACGAAATTTCAGCACGGATACAGAAGACTCGACTAGTTTTTGTCAACTTCCGTCATTTATGGCGTAGGCGAGATATCCGTCTATCAACCAAAGGACAGGTTTACTGCGCAGCAGTTCGTTCAGTCTTACTTTATGGCAGTGAACATGGTCGGTAAGAGTAGTTGATATTCGTAGGTTACTAGTGTTCAATCATAGGTGTCTTCGAAACATTGCTCGTATATCATGGGACCATCGAGTAAGTAACACAGTTGTTAGGAAACGGGTACTAGGTAAGGATGGCAAATCAATTGATGAAGTAGTGAAACTTCATCAGTTGAGATGGCTGGGACACGTGTTACGTATGCCCAACGACCGACTGCCTCGACGTGCTATGTTCAGTGGTATAGGAGTAGGTTGGAAGAAAGCTAGGGGCGGCCAAACCAAAACATGACACAAGTCCATGAAGTCACTGACAAGTGAACTGAGTCATGTTGGTAGGTGTAGACTACCTGGTTGGGGACCGCGAGATGACAGCAACCGATGGTTAGAGACCCTGAATGACATGGCTCAAAATCGTTGTCAATGGTGCAGGTGGATACACTCTTTGTGTTCTCCCAAATTCTAAGTTTCTGAATTTTTCTTTCCAAATTTACTTCACTGGGTTGTACTTCTTGAATAACATCTTCAAACCGTAGTCTTTCCGATTATTGCCTATACTTTTACTACCTCTACCACTTTTGGATTTGAATCGAAAATTGTATCTGTGTGTTAATGTGGTATTTCAACTTGAACTGACGTACGTACGTACGAAGTTCTACGTTGTTGTTGTTGACTGACTGACCGATATCGGTTTCCACCGTTGAAAATTCCTTTGCAAGTCAACAGTAATCATGCTCATTGACTAACTTGTCATTTTTCCTCTTTTTTTTTACTGGAATTATATTCATTAATGATTTTCATAAATTTAGCTCATCATCGATTTACCCTACGAAGAATGGGAAATCACAATAAATTGCAAACTTTTGATATTTTCTTTAATCCAGGATGTCATCGGTCTTATGAACACTTGATGATGGATTGATGATTAAATATAAAGGATGAGCGAATTCATGCAATCATTCTTACTATTGAGTACAAACAGTGAGATTATAATTTATGAACGACCTTTGAGTGACTCTAGACTGACCTTGAGGGTGTTCACTTAATAACCATGACCAAATGAGGATTATAAACCAGTATAAGGAATTACAACTATAATTTACAGTTGATGATTAAGGTTAGGAATTAGATTTCGGGTTTTTATCATGAATTGATATCACCTAAAATATCAAAACTTTATTTATCCAAATGGATGAATGAATTTCGCGCCAAAATCCGAGACCTACAATCTTATACGTGATTGATTCATCCATAAATTACAGTCTCACCGTATAAACCAAAAAAATTGTCATCTGAAGACTGATGAATCAAAGTATGTTAACTAATTTGATAATTAACTATTCTTTAGAGTTAATCAACTCCTATCAAACGATAAACAATGTTACTAATGGTATAATCGACTTGAATAATAAGCGTACTACGTTTGGATGTGTTACATCAGTATTAAAAACAAGAAGAAACTACATGTCAGTTATTACACAATAATTGATTATTTGAAATATCTTACTTCTACATTAAGTCAGTTGCAGCTCAAATAGCTTAGTGATACTGTGGTGTGTACTACTTATATTGATATAAGTAGTATATGTCGCGAGTTAAACGTAATATCTGGCAGCAGAAGATGAGGTGAAGATCAAGAAAGGAAGAGCGAGAGCACAATGGAATTTGTAAGAAAACGCATGTACAATGGAACGGGAGACAATGGATTAGTGTTTGCAACGGAAACAGTCCAGTTTAATATGATGCATTGATATTTTGCAAATTGACGATTGACTTTATGGTATTCAGATTTTATTGAGATAGTCTGTAATTTTCGTACTAAATACATTCGATTGTCCCCACCCGTGTTCTTGTTCACAACAATACCATTTCTAATGTTGATCTTAAATGAAGTGGGTTAGTATTTCACTTAAAATATCAACTTCTTCAACAATAAAAAAATAGATGAAATACCTTGTCAGTTAAGTATAATCTAGAACCATATATGATCTTGTAGCTTCTTTCTTAAACTATCCTTAAACGATCAATTTCAGTTCTTTTACTGACAGATTCACTATATTCAAAGCATCAGTCATCATTATTTCATCAGCCTATTGTTATATGTTGTAATTGTATATGCAATTAATCAGATAATTTCTTAATTAGAAGGTATATTAGGATAAATACTCAGTTCATGTATTTATACTTTGAATATATATCCTTTCACTATTGTAAAAGAAGAATTAATAAACATGAATAGCAACTGAAAAGAAATGGAAAGGATTGCCTAAGACAGAGTTGGATGGAGGATGCCTGGTGATCGGCCTATACTCCTCTGCGAGAGATAACAGGCATAAGTAAGTAAGTATGTAAGTAATCTCAGTTATTCATTTATTTATATCAACGAAAGTGTATTTTACTCATAGGTTCTTTTTTAATACTAGAGATTAACACTTTAATGATCAAATCTCAATATGTACATGAACATTGAACTGTAAGTACATCTAACTGATGAGTTTCAAACAGAATGAATCAGTAGATGGATTCTACTATTAGTGATTATCAGTATGGGGTTGTGGAGATTATTAAGTTTTTGATTGAGATCATGAACCTATTAATGTTAGATCATCATTGAAAACCTTGAAGTACTGGATCTCCGTTTAGCCTTATTATATGACTTCTCAGCAGTGCACATCTACGATCCCCGCGAGCAGGATCCAAACCCAGGGACTTCAGTCTCGCTCTCGAACGCTGGCATCCAATGATGTAAATGTCTTATCTCAACCAATCCACAAAATCGCGCGACCATCTTCCATTTTACCGAGGTAGATACCTGTATTATGCAAGACAGATTAACTCCACTGGTTACTGCTTCCCACTAGAACTCTGAGAATTCCCTCATGAAACTAGTCACTAATAAGTATATGATTGTGAAGATTATTAAGCTCTTGATTGAGATTTTCATAAATTTTCGTCATTTTTAATGTATATACCAAAAGAATAAAACAAAATCATTACTTACTTTATTTCTAGCACCAGCACATACATGAACTTTAGAACTAATATCAGCATAATGTTTACGACAATCTTCTATAGAAACAATTGGTAATTCAACTTCATGTAATTCTCTTGATGATTCTTCTTCTTCTAATTTTTTAATATTCCATATTGTTGATTCACTTCTACCAAATCTAAATGGTGTTGTAAATAATGATGGAAATGGTAAAAATAATGATTCTAATATACTATGTATATTATCAAATGTTGGTATTTTTGCACCTTTATTACTACCCCAACCAACAGCATAACATTTAGAATTTGGTGTTAATTTTAAATCTTTTGTTGGTAAACATGCAAAATCAATTTCTGGTGCTAAAAAAAAAACAGAAAAAAAAACAGAAGTTAAAATGAATAATTTGAAACTGAAGGTCATGAGTTCGAAGACAGCGAGCGGGGAATGAAGATGTGCATTGTTGAAGAGTCATACAATAGAATGAAAAACGGAGGTCCGGTGCTTTCAGACTTTCAATGGTGGTCTAACATCAATCATTTCATGATCTCAATCAAATACTTAATAATCTTCACAACCATATACTGATAATTACCATGTGCTTACTAGTGACTAGATTCGTGAGAGAGTTCTCAGAGTTCTAGTGAGAAGCAGTGACCAGTGGAGTTAATCCGTGTTGGATAATACAGGGATCTACCTCATTACAATGCAAGATGGTCACGCAATTTTGTGGATTGGTTGAGTTTATACATTAACATCATTGAATGCCAGACAGCTCAGTGGTCTAGAAGTTAAGCGTTCGATTGCGAGACTGAAGACCCTGGGTTTGAATCCGTGAGCTGCATCGTGGATGCGCACTACTGAGGAGTCCCATACTAGGACGGAACGGCCGTTCAATGCTTCCAGATTTTCAATGATGATCTAACATCAATCGATTCATGATCTCAATAAAAAAATGTCAAGAATTTGGATAATATATCTAGTAAAAAACCCAAAATGAACCTCTACTACTCTCAATTGTGATTATTAAACAAAAGAATTGTCAATATCAATGTTTGGAGACTGTGTGTGACATGGATCAGAATCGATCACAATGGCGTAGCTATATACACTCTCTGTCTTCCCTCAAACTATGCGATTAGAATTACTTTCTACCTCTCTACCAACTAATTCTCTCTTCCTGTACTAGATCCTTATATGCAGTCTTTCTTTTTTATATTACTACCATTGAATTGACTACTTCTATGAATTCAGTGTTCATCTTATTGTGCTAATGATGTACGGCATCTTAGACCGATGCATATATGTGCTTTGTCCTACGTTGTAGCTGACTAACCGACTGACAATATCAGTGTTCTACAACCTCTAGTACTCTCAATCAGTTTGATCTTGATGGTCTATATTTGTCTAACTACCGATGAATAAATGCTGTGATTTCTATGTTACTATAACTGTAAATCACTCGTTGTACCTGTTCAATGTGTAGATTCTTCCTTTTTTGTAATTGATTATTATTCATTTTCTGTTCTTGTACCAGTTATCATTATTATATGTTGTAAAACTATACAAAACCCTAAAGGTACTCAATAATCTTGGGACAATGCGTAAACTATATAATATCAGACGAGTAGGAAGTTGAAAATTCTGATTTTCTGGAACTTCTAGAGATGCAGTTGAATGACAGAAACAAAGATTTGACAAATGCATCATCATAAGGACTAAGTATTTTGGCGTCAGTAATACTGATGTGAAACTCCGCCTGTAGCTTTTCCGAACTTACTGCCGGTCCCAAGCCCGGGTAAAGGAGGAGGGTTGGGTATGGGGTTAGCGACCCCACCCCGTAGAAAACTAACTCGCTAAAAAAACGCTAACCAGCAAAAATAATTCAAACCATTTAAGTAAGTAAGTAATACTAATGTGACCTGGAATCTCCTTTCAAATACTTATTGGATAGACTATATGCTTCGAAAGCCTCTTATATGAAAGGTTTCAAAATTATGTACCAATTTTATCGAACACATTAACAAATAAAACATATTCTTGACTTTTAATGGTTTTCTAGGAGTAGTTTGTAACATAGAAAAAGGAAATTTAATAATCTCCACAAACGTTCCTACCACTAACAGTAACCATGTTCCCAATGATGATTAGTTTCAAGATGGAATTCTTGGAGTTTTAATTAGAAGTCGTGACTAATGGAGTTCAACCATCTCGAGTTTGAAACTGTTAGCAGTCAGTCATCAAATATCGTGAGTTGATTAAAGTTAAGCATATGCACTATTTGATTCCAGTCCAATGGTCTAGAGGTTAGACCTTCAAGTGCGAGAATGAAAGCCATGAGTTCGGTTCCCAGTGATGAATTTATGGATGTGTACTCCTGAGGATTTCCTTACTGGGACTAAACGACTGTTCATGACTTTCAGGTTTTCAAAAGTCATCTAACTAACATTAATTAATGGTGTACACTGTAAGGTATATATAGCAGATAACGGCAGGAATAGACATACTTGTTTTAACTGGTTCTGAGAGACGTAACAATGCAATATCATATCCATCAGTTTGTAATTTTCTATGATAATTTGGATGAAGTATAGCAACAGTAACACGATGATCAACTTGTGCAGCTTCTTGTTTATATCGATCATGATCACCTAAATGTGCATAGATTGTACTTTTCATATGATCAGCTAACATAACTGGTTTTCCAACTGGAATATGTTTATTTTCCACTAGAACACAATGAGCTGCAGTTAATATCCATTGTGGTGCAATTAATGTCCCACCACAGAATGTAACTGGTCTTCGATGTGGTAACTTCACAGATAAACGAACCTTTAATATAAGAATAAATATGAATTCAATTTGTTAATAATTGTTTAATTTATGACTGAATATACTTCGACAATATGTACTTTGTTGTCATGGCAACCCAACTTAAATAAAGGTTGCTCGGACTGTTATAAGACTAGGGTATAAAAGAGCTGATTTTGTTAGTGTTGTATTCTTTGAACTAGATGAGTTAATTACTGATTTCTTATCACCATTTTGAACAACGTTATCAGAATTTTCTCAACTAAGTATTAAAAAAGACATAGAACATCTAATAGTGTAGATCTCAGTCCTACAGGAGGTTGGTAGTGGCCCGGATAGCTCAGTGTTAACGTCTCTGACTGTGGAGCTGGATGACACGGGATCGAGCACCAGTTCCCTCAAGATTATAGGTGCACCTTGCTGATGAGTGTCAAGTAGCACGAAACCCGGATCCACGGTTTCCTGTTGACTACCTCCATCCACCATCTAATTCTAAGCACCATTTGTCACGTGCTACTGATGTCGACAGATATAAGTAGTATATGTGATCAATCAAAATTGAAATGCCTAGTAACAGAAGATTAAGAAGATCGAAGAAAAGAGAACGAGAACAAAGAATGATTAGTATGGAATTGCAGGAACAATGAAGTCTGAAAGGATCGACTGATATTTTGCGAATGAAGTATTTACTGTATGGTTCTTAGATTTTACTAAGATGTACTGTAATTTTATGTTCGAATACATTCGATTGTTCCCAATTTTGTTCTCGTCCACTACATTATAACTAGTAGCCATTAGAGAGAGTGAACTTTTGACCTGAGAAATTAAGCATATCTTGCATGATATAAAACTACACTGAAGAGTCGAGATTGATCGTACACATGTTTGTATACAATTGTGGTATGTGCTACTGATGTCGACAGATATAAGTAGTATGTATGATCAACCGAAAGTGAAATGCCTGATACCAGAAGGTTAAGAAGATCGAAGGAAATAGAACGAGAACAGAGAATGATTACTGTGGAAACAAAGAAACTATGAAGTCTGAGACGATTGATTGATATTTTGCAAATGAAGTATTTACTGTATGGTTCTTAGATTTTATTAGATATTCTATAATTTTGTATTCAAGTATATTTGATTGTGATTAGATGGTGGTTGGGGGTAGTCGACAGGAAACCCTGGATCCGGCTTTCGTGCTACTTGGTACTCGTCAGCAGGGTCATTTCGTCCTATTGTGAGACTCCTCAGCGCGCGAGACTGATTAGTCCTAGGTTCGAATCTCGCGAGGCGAAATCGTGGATGCACACTGCTGAGGAGTCCCATACTCGAATGAAATGGCCGTCTAGTGCTTCCAGGTTTTCCATGGTAGTCTAGCTTCAATTTACTCATAATCTTAACCATTAAATCTAATATCATCAAGTTATTTTCAAAGATTTGAACTAATCGTCTAGGAAAAGAAGCACAAAAAAAAGAACAATCGAAAGCTTTATAACTTAAACATTCAACTGAATGTACCAACATAAGAAAATATCAAATTAACTATGCATATGATAACTTACAGCCCATGGCCATGAATGTGGTTCAGCTGATTTACCGCCAAGAATTTTTTCTATTATTTTGTTATCTTGTTTACGTATTCCACATGTATTAGTTAGATTTTTGACAATTTGTTCACCAGCTATGAATAAGTATATATCATAAACATAGATAGAATAAGTGTAAGAACAGTTTAGGTAATAAATATGAAATGTATGGAAAGAAAACAACAAATTCGCCTGGAGCCCATCTGGAGCCACTGCCGGTCCAAAGGCTGAATAAAGATGGAGGGTTGGACATAAGGTTAGAGACCCCATCCTATAAAAAACTAACTTGCTAAAAACAAACCCGCTAACCAGAAAAAAATAATTTGAACTATTTAAACTCTGCTCTTGGAGTTAGAAGGTCTTCATTTAGAAGAGTTATGATGCCTCAAGGTGGGGGCCGAGTTCTTTCAAAAGTCATGAGGATGATGCCTCTTTTAACAACTAGAGTAATCATTAATTTAGGTACACGAAATGCTCATACAACGTGAGAAACCGGGAAAGTCATCCAAATTGCTAAAGAAATAAAGAGGTACAACTTGGAGGTGTTTGGAATCGGTGAAACACATTGGACGCAGGTTAGATAACAATGACTAGCTTCAGGGGAGCTTCTTTTATACTTCGGCCATGAAAAAGAAAACGCACTAGCCTTTAGTTAGTAAACAAGGTCAACGATGAACAAAATCGTTTACCAGTAACGTGTATTTGTAATCTTAAGTTTATGGTTACTGTTTTTCAGATTCTAATTTTCACCATTTTAAGGACAAACGTTAATGATCTTATTAAAAGTAGTTGTTTACGAAATTAAGAAGACAAAAAGCGAATGTCTGGTGCTTTAATCTGGTTGGTGGATATGGAGGATATATCTAGAGGAGTTGGAAAACCCTGATTCCAAACCAATGGTGAGCATGAGCTCTAGGATCATGGAGGAACAAATGGTGTGTGAACCAATTATTGGTCAGCGGCTACCATGGGACTGCATCTTCTTACGTTGCTCCACTGCCTTGTGGACTAGACCTTTAGGCTGAAGGCTTTGTGCGTGGCCCCCTTAGAAAACCACCTGACTCGGTTTGGGCAGCCGGACAGTATCATAGCCCACACACAAATCAAGTGGCTTACTTGTGTGGCGCATATGTATTCGCCCCCCCCCTTTGTACTAATTTTTATGTGTCCAAATAAGTAAATAAATTAGTGTGCATTCATGATCCAGCTCGCGGGGTTCGTACCCAGGACCTTTGGTCTCGCGCGCGAAATCCTAACCTCTATACCATTGAGCCATAATCCAATGTTGTTAATGTCTAACCTCAACCAATCCACGAAATTGCGCCACTGTCTCACAACCGACCCGATTGAACTCCACTGGTCACAGCTTCTCACTTGAAGTCCTGAAAATACCTCTTGAAGCCAGTCACTAGTGAGTGCATGATGATTATTATTACCGAAAAGTAAGTTTTGTGGAGGTTGTAGTAATTTCATATTTGATTTCATGAGTCGGTGGAGCAATTTCATGAGTTGGTTGAAGTTAAACATTAACACCATTGAATACCGGCTATGCAGTCTAAAGATTAGTAGTTCGTGCGCGAGTTCAAATGTCCTAGATTCTACTTCCTGTCGTATAGTATCATAAATGCCCACTGTTGAGGACTGCTATACTAGGACGAAACAGTCACCCAATGTTCTCAGGTTTTCTATGGTAGTCTATCTTTAATCAGTTCATGAATTCAACTATTAAATTAATGATCTGTATTATCATTTAAGATCAGTTATAAATTAAATGAACTATGCACACAATCGCATACATCATACATTTACCTAATCCTTCTTTACTATTCAATTCATATCATCATATATCATCTTACATGTGATTCAAATGATAAGATTATTATTCTATAATAAATAATCAATGGTTATATATCATCAGAAGGGGTTTTGTGGAGATTTTAGTAATTTCAATAGTTGAAATCATGAGTTTATTGAAATTAGACCACCATAGAGAATCTGGAATTACTAGACTGTCTTTTTAGTCCCAGTATGAGACTCCTTAGCAATACGCATCCATAATCCTGCCCCCCTCGAGATTCGAACCCAGGATCTAACTTATTCATCAGTAATATCATTCAAGATCAGATATGAATAAAATACAGTATACATTATATTATTGTATCATTCAATTACATATATGATGCGTTTAACTAATCCTTCTTTACTATTCAATTCATCTATCATCTTACATGTGATTCAAATGATAAGATTATTATACTATAACAAATGATCAATGGATATACATATCAACTTCAATAAGATAATCTTTACTATTTAAATGGTATACGTTACATTGTCATATCTGTAATGTATACAAACTTATACACTACATAGTATAAAAACAACACCAAAAAAAATTCACCTAAAATTAAGAATTATCTACCAAGATACATTTCAAACTTATAAAGAGAATTGATATCAATAATCAGAAATAAGTTTAGTTTCAATAGTTGAAATCATGAATTAATTGAAGCTAGACCATCATCGAAAACATGAAATTACTGGACTGTCGTTTCGTCCTAGTATGGGACTTCTCAGCAGTGCGCAACCATGATCCCGCACCACCCCTCCGGAGAGATTCGAACCCAGGTCCTATCAGTTTCGCAAGCGAACTCTTAATCATTAGACCATTGAGCCGTTATCTAATGGAGTTAATGTCTAACTTCAACCAATCCAGTTTAATTTTATAGGATGTTATTGATAGACAATATGTATGAATGGGTATATTTTTAATTGTGATATAGATTCATATCTAGCTAGGGGTTGGGGTGAGGAATGAGCGAGTTTCTTTAGTATTACTAAATCTATTTCATTCATGAATGTCGATTTCTACGTAACCTAGGTGAAGAAGGATTGCTTGTTGATTGAACTTAATTATTTAACATCGAAACACAATGTACATTGTTATATCCCTACGGAAATAATGAATAGTATCTGTTGGGATCCACTTATGGACTAATACTATACATATATTCCTATTCTATAACTGTTCAGCAACTAAATTATGTTTGTTCATATTCCTCTTATTATATGCTTCATTTTGACTTATAGGTTATTATTATACGATTTGCCGTTCTTGAGTTATACCCAGTCTATTAACTACAGTCTCCCACATTCACAACTACATTTGGCTAAATCTTGTACGAATGTTATTCTGTATTTTATAGTGTGATGTGGTCAGTTTGGCTTGTATATAAACCCAATATGTTTGAAATATACGATTCATATCGCGGAGGCTGAGATTGATGTTATGGATTCAACAAACAGGCATGGACGATTTGGAAGGAAGAAGAACTCGTAAGGATTTTAGACTGCTCGCACGGGTTCTACGATATCATTGGTCCGGTCGATAAATCACTGTATTTTAATTGACGGTATCATTACATTATATATATTAATAGGTGTACAAGACCACAACTTATAATGTACATTATGTCAATTAACTTAGAATGGTAGCTACATTAAAAATTGATCACTAAAAGGATTAGACAATCAGGTCAATGAAATCCAAGATGTGAGTTTCATTCTGTTTGAAATTCGTCATTTGAACATAGCTGGATCTGAGAGTTGATATTCATTTCAGGTCTCGAATTCAGTACCTTTCGTTTTAACCGTCTAATTAGTCTTAAAGTGAATAGACAATGTAATTTATTTTAAAGTTATAAGTTCTGGTTATTGTTGTTGATGGCTACTAGTTTCTATGTTTAATTAATTAGTTCATGATTATTGTAACAGTTTATCCTTTCGTATTATCAATTATTCAGTTTTATATTTTATTAGTTGCTATGGTTACACGGACCCTATGAATGGAGACCCCATTATTAGCCATAGTTACAAACTGGTTGTTTTATTTGAAAATTGATAGTAGTGGAATCATAGATGTTGATTTTCCTTTCTTTAGGACCCAACAGATAGACGTATTAATGTTGGTATTCATACAGAGACTCAAACTTAGTACATATAACTTCGAACACTAGCGTTGTTCACTAGACTATTTATTCAACGGTTATATTCAATACAATTTGTGAACATCAAGAGTGAGATGAAATCATATATCCCAAGTTGATATTCAAAACTGAATTTCAATCATTCTTTAGTTGAGATAAGTTCTTCAATAGAGTAATTTATCACAAGTCTTTAATGTTAGTATGAATACTAGAATGTAGACAAACCTAGTTGACAAGTCTCAAATAGGATGTAACACAAATGTTGAATTCCACTGACACCGATAATCTCTATGTTCTAAACCATGTATTCAATTCGTATATCGGTGAAACTATAACTTCTGGACAACCTTTGAATGACTCGAAAATGACCTTGTGAGTGTCAACTTAATAACTAGGACTAAATGAACATTATAAACCAATGTAAGGAATTCGAATTATCATTAACAGTTGATGATTAGAAGTTAGGAATTACATTTAAAGTTTTCATCACCAACTGACATCAACTATAATTGCCAAAACTCTATTTAACCAAATGGATGAGTGAATTTCGTGCCAAAATTCGAGACCGGTTATCTTAAATCTGATTGGTTCGTCCATATTGTTATAGTCTTACCCATATATTATCAGATAGGGTTTGTGGAGATTTAAGAAATTTTCACAGATTGAAATCATGAGTCCCACACTAGGACGAAACGGCCGGCATGTGTTTCCAGGTTTTCCATGGTGGTCTAACTTCAACTGACTCATGATTTCAATCTGTGAAAATTACCCATATATCTCAGATAGAAATGTAAGAAAGATTCAATAATCATCATTTCACTTACTATGTTCATTACATTGAGTCTTATTTAAACATGTACGTTTCTCTGTATAATATTTTGATATACATCTAGTTGTATGAATAAGATTTGGTGATATTGTTTTCCATGAATTATCTAAACATTTACGATAACGTATTTCAATACATTCAATTGGTAAACATTCTTTCCAATCTGACCAATTACTATAACGGTCTGTATTGAATACATACATTTCTTGAGTATTTGGTCGATTAAAATGTATACGCCATGGAAACCATTTCAATTGAGTTTTTCGTCCGACATTCTATTAAAATTAAAAAAAATATTATATTGGTAATAAGCTATTGAATACTCCGCTTGGAGACTATGCTCCATTGGGAGTAACAGGCGTAAGTAAGTAAGTAAGTAAGTAAGTAAGTAAGTAAGTAAGTAAGTAAGTAAGTAAGTAAGTAAGTAAGTAAGTAAGTAAGTAAGTAAGTAAGTAAGTAAGTAAGTAAGTAAGTAAGTAAGTAAGTAAGTAAGTAAGTAAGTAAGTAAGTAAGTAAGTAAGTAAGTAAGTAAGTAAGTAAGTAAGTAAGTAAGTAAGTAAGTAAGTAAGTAAGTAAGTAAGTAAGTAAGTAAGTAAGTAAGTAAGTAAGTAAGTAAGTAAGTAAGTAAGTAAGTAAGTAAGTAAGTAAGTAAGTAAGTAAGTAAGTAAGTAAGTAAGTAAGTAAGTAAGTAAGTAAGTAAGTAAGTAAGTAAGTAAGTAAGTAAGTAAGTAAGTAAGTAAGTAAGTAAGTAAGTAAGTAAGTAAGTAAGTAAGTAAGTAAGTAAGTAAGTAAGTAAGTAAGTAAGTAAGTAAGTAAGTAAGTAAGTAAGTAAGTAAGTAAGTAAGTAAGTAAGTAAGTAAGTAAGTAAGTAAGTAAGTAAGTAAGTAAGTAAGTAAGTAAGTAAGTAAGTAAGTAAGTAAGTAAGTAAGTAAGTAAGTAAGTAAGTAAGTGAGTGAGTAAGTAATTAATTAATTAATTAATTAATTAATTAATTAATTAATTAATTAATGATGTTAAATTCATCTAATTTGTAATTAAAATCTTAAACCTAAAATTCTAACTTTAATCTTAACTATTTAATTTCAAGTATAACCAAAGTAGAAACTTTTAAAAACCTGTCTATATCTTTTAAGCTCTTGAGAATGTGTACAACCTATGCATTCATTAGAAAGAGTTTATGTCGTTGTTTTGTTTTAGTTTACACGTTTACTAACATGTGGAAAACATTAATCGGACTATTAATTATGAGTCAAAAGGGGTTTTGAAGAGATTGTAGTAATTTCAGTAGTTGAGATCATGAGTCAATTGAAGCAAGACCATTATGGAAAACCTGGAAGCGCTGGTAAGCCGTTTCATTCTATTGTGAAACTCCTCCTCGTCAGTGTACATTCACGATGTCACCTTGCGAGACTCGAACCCAGGACTTATCGGTTTTGCGCGCAAGCGCTTAACCACTAAACCACTGAACCGGCATCCAACAGTGTTAATGTCTAATTTCAACTAATCCACGAAATTGATCGATCCATCCACCATTGTCTTCAGTGTGTTACTATCTCACAACAGACCTGGTTGAACTCCACCGGTCACTGCTTCTCACTAGGACTACAGGAAGTACCTGTTGAAGCCAATCACTAGTGAGCATATGTTGATTAGTATCAGAAGTGGTTTTGCGGAGATTTTAGTAATTTCAATAGTTGAGATCATGAGTTAATTATGTGAAAACTGTTTGCACTTTAAAATATTAATGTTTCTTCTTTTTTATGGAGACAATTTTTCCAGAAAGTGTTTTTCAGTTTGGTTAGAAAGTAGGTGGACATTGGTCGCAATTATTCTAAACTCGTCTTTATACTACACTTTTACCTAAGCTATATAATATGAATTTCTTAGTTCGATAACTAATAACCTACTAGCTAATTAAGCTCTTAAATGGTTTGACTTATTTTTTTAGTTACCGTGTTTATTGTCGGTTGCCTACGCAAAATACTTCGGATCCGTTGGTTTGAGATTATCAGCAACAACCTATTGTGGGAGGGAACAAATCAGATTTCAGCGAAGGAAAAAATCAGGAAGAAGCACTGGAAGTGGATAGGACACATGTTGAGGAAAGCAACCAACTATGTCACAGGGCAAGTCCTCACTTGGAATCCTCAACGCCAAAGGAGATGATGATTAATGAACGCTTTACGCTGAGAAATGGAGACAGAGATGAGAAGAATGGGTGGGTTGGAGAATAGTGGTTGGTAACCTATGCTCCACTGAGAGTAACAGACATAAGTTATTAGACTCTTGCAAATTGTATCAGATTCAAAATATCAGTCTGAAGATAGTTAGTATTGATTTTTTTACTTTGAATAGTTGTTTCATAATTTTTTGAGATTGACGATAGAAAAAATATTCAGAAAGTCTTACTTCACCAAAGTTCAGTAAAGTTTGTCAACAAAACGTATCTATCGATTGATTCTAGTCAATTAAGATTGAAGTATCCACGACTGCTAGCTCAAGGAATCAAATCCAAAACTGTCGGTTTTACTTGTGAACCCGTTAAACTCTAAACTACTGATATTATAATAAATAGTGTATGTGTTTCGTTTTAATCAATTCAGAATATTGAACAACTGACCACTATTGTTTATTGTGAATAACTATCTCACATTTGACATGGTTGAACTTTCTTAATTACAACTTCTAATTTTAAACACCACTCACTCACTTACTTACTTCGTGAATATCTCGTGGATGGTGACGATATTGAAGGGTTAAGTGGGCGAACCTAATGTGAGAATAGCGTTTAATGTGCTCTTGTTAATGATAATGTTAGCGAAGTGCTTATAAATGATCTGTTATGATCAGTCAGGTCATACCTTTAATAACAACCTATGTGACTCATTCCATTTATAATGGCTTGAAATATCTTTTTGTTGAAACTTGATCAGTCCTGTATGGCATATATGCATCCTGTATGGATTACCTCGATGAAACCATTATGACACAAATTAAGTATAAAATAAATGAGTTGTGGTTAGCGGTATAACCCAGGATCAGTGTTTCGTCATGTTTCGGACTTGTAATCCGAACTAAATATCAACTCTAGGATGAGGTACAACCACCTGATAAAGCTTAAATAATAGAACAAAATACACATCCCGAATCCGAGTGTTAGCTACATTTCACTGTAAGTGAGTTTAACTTTGGTTCAGCTCAAATTTACTTGAACAATGTAGTCATTATCTTACACATATTCGTTTTATTCGTAATTTCTCCACCATATTGTATCTCCAGTTACTGTTTAGTACAATTCTAAGTATCCACGACTACCAGCTCAAGGAATCAAATTCAAGATTGTTGGTCTTATTTATAAACCCATTAAATTCTAGACAACTGATCCTGTAATGAATAGTGTATGTGTTTCATTTCAATCCATTTACAATATTAGACTATTGACTACTGTTGCCTACTATGAATGGTTGAACTTTTTTAATCATAACTTCTAATTTAAAACATTACTCATTCACTTACTTTATGAATATCTCGTCGATGGTGACGATCTTGTTGATGATGACGATGATTATGATGAACATGATGATCATTGTCATCATCAGTATCGTTTATGAATCGATTCAATGCTTCTTCATCAATATACTCTTTATTAGAATCATATTCAGATGTATTATTCTTTTGAATTAATAATAAAATAAAACATATAAGGTAGATTATGTATGCGTTTATTAAGCTCATAATAATAGTAATACTAATAAATTGTAATCTAATTGTATACCACAAAATCTATCTACTTATATATATATATCAGCGACCTGAAAGTTTACCAAAAAAAATTCGATCCAATAATATTACACCATGTAAATTTGATTGGTTTATTTACTAAATAAGTGAATATTCAAATGATAAGATGATGAGAACAAGTACCTTAATGTGTATGATGATGGTGGTGGTGGTGATGACGGTGATCGAATTTGACTGCCATTTCGGCAATAGTATTTTAGTATTTACATTTATGTTTACATTTGTATGGAATCATTATTGGATATAATGAACTAATCATGAATTCATAAATTCAATTATGTTTATAAATATAATATTACATGGTAACATTGTATATTCAATAAATAACCTTGAATGAAAATGGAGTTAGTGGATGGGGGGTGAATGGGGGGATGGGGTGGTGGTTGGTTGGTTGGTTATGAAACGAAACATTGAATAAAACTTCAAATAAACTACAAGTGTTCAGATTGGATTGATTGACATTTAACTAAATTCGGAATATTCTAGAATGTGGTTTGTTTGCTGCCACCCCCCCCCCTCTGTTAATGAATAGTTAGAATTGAACTAGATCGATAGATGTGTAATTCGTTTGAAAGTAATTTAGTACGTCAGTTCATTGGTTGTAGTGAATTGTCAAAACTATGAGTGAATGAGATATTCCGTTTAGTCTTTAGAAAATCTTGGCTTTGGGTTAATTAGTATCCGATAGCAAGTCATAATTGTAGTCATGGGGCAAATGATCTTTCCTATAAGATTCAATCTCATGTCATTCAACTTTACAGTTTGACAGCGACCTCTTGTAAGACTAAGATATCTAAAATTGATTGATCATTGAATGGTGGCCAATGTCATATCTGTTTAGTTCTTAGTAATGATCAAATTTTATTAATAAAGGAAGCTCTTGTCTTTTCAGAACTTCAGGCGAGACTAGTTGATAAATGTCAACTTGTACATAATTCAGGCCTTTGATTACTTTTCAACCTATTCCAACTTACTTATTTACTTACGCCTGTTTTCCCCTATAAAAGAGTACAGGCCGTTCACCAGCACTCTCCAACCCAACTCTGTTCTGGCTCTTTCTTTCCAGTTGCCATTCATCCTATTTATGTCTGTTTCCATTTCCGACGTAATGTGTTCTTCGGCTCTCCGTTGTTCCGTTTCCCTTCAGGATTGCAAGTCAATGCTTGCCTAGTGATGCAATTTGATGATTTCCTCAAAGTATGTCCTATCCACTACTACCGTTTTTTTAAATTTCCTCCTCAGTTGAAAGCTGGTTTCTCCTCTCCCACACTAGGCTTTTGCTGATGGTATTCGGCCAACGGACATTCATTATCTTACACAGACAATTGTTTATAAATACTTGTACCTTTTTGATGATGGTAACTGGAAAGAACTGGAAAGGATTTCCCAAAACAGAGTTGGATGGAGAGTGCTAGTGATTGGCCTATGCTCCTCCATGAAGGGGAACAGGCGTATGTAAGTGAGTAATTGTTAATATTAAACCTTCGCACATTGAGTTAATCAAGTACATTTAGTTAGCAAACGGTTTTCAGTAGTAGTTGTAGTGAATTTCCCTGTCACTTGATTAACAGTCTAAAATGATGATTTGTAGATTGGCCACTTCTTATCAAAATCAAGTTAAGTAAGCTAAACACAAACTGAAATTCAGTCATTATCTGCTTTGATAAAAGAGTAAAGTTAATAATTGATGAAATGATCTTACTGGATAGCCAACTAGAAAGATCGCAATAAATAAAATAAACAGTATGAGGTTGTGGTGATCAAAAACTTAACAATCACCACAACCCTAAACTGATAATTACCATGTGCTCACTAATGACTAGTTCCAAGATAGATTTCCTGGAATTCCAGCGAGAAATCGTGACTAATGAAGTTCAATCTGTGTCAAATGTGAAACAGTTATCCACCTCAGACAATGTATGAAGAGTTGTGCGAGATCATTGATCAAGTGAAGTTAGATATAAACACCATTGAAAGTCTGCTCAGTGGAATAGAGCTTAAGCGTCCGTGCACGCGCCCAAGGGTCCTGGGTTACACTGCTGCGGAGTGCTATACTAGAAAGAAACGACCACTGAGCCAGCATCCAATGGTTTTAATGTCTAGTGACTAGCTTCGTGAGGGAATTCTCGGAATTCTCGTGAGAAGCCGTGACCAGTGTAGCTAATCGGTGTCGGGTAGAAACAGGTATCTACCTCAGTACAATAGAAGATGGTCATTCACAAGTCAATTTTAATTTAACATTTTGATAACTATTGCTAGCAATACAATCTGTCACTTGGATTCCATTCTGTTTGTCATTAGTCAGTTGCATGTTCTCACTGAATGTTAAACCCAGTACCTAAATAATAGAATTCTACTTGTAACTGGTTGTAAAGTCTGACAAAAGATTTCTAAATTCATTTATTTCTACAAATTACGTTTGTAGTGAACGAGAACACAAGTGAGATCAATTGAACGTGTTTGAATACAACATTAAAGAACATCCTACTAAAATCTCAGAACCGTACAGTAAATACTTCATACGCAAAATATCTGTCAGTCGTCTCAGACCTCACTATTCCTTCATTTTCATATCCTTTGCTTTCTGTTCGCATTCTTTCCTCTTAGATCTTGGTTTTCTGCTACCAGACAGTCTATTCCTGACTGGTGTTATATACTACTTATGTCGAAATAAGTAGCACACTCAACACTATTACTTGATGTAATACTTCTCTGTTAGATTGATCGTTTTTCACTTTGTGACTTTAACAAATACGAATAATTCATATATCGACTTGAGCTACAAATCTTTTTCATCAATTCTTCATAACTAAGTCTTTTAAATTATATCTATCATCATTTAGCTAATATCAAAAATATACCAAGTGAACTATCAGCGGACGTGTAGAAGTTTAATATCAATGAACAGACATCTAGTGAATTTTCAGCCATTACCGTCGACCATCATTTAACTGTTGTACAATAAGTGTTTGAACAAGAACACAAGTAGAGATAGTCGAATCTGAGAACCATACAGTAAATAAGTTCACTTGATGTTGTTTTAATTGTATCTTTCCGTTGTTATTTAGGACCGCAATTGATCAGTCTCATGTTGACATATGTGCACCCTGTGCGAATTGCCTCGCTGTAGCCTTAAGTCACAAGCTTGTTCCGGGGTTCACATACATCCAGCTGACGAGTCCGAAATAGGACGAAATGCTCATCCTGGATTCCACTGCTAGCCACTATCCATCATACAATAAATACTTCATTTGCAAAATATCAGTCCATCGTTAGATAGTGGTTGGAGGTAGTCAACAGAAAACCCTGGACTCAGGTTTCATGCTACTTGGCACCTGTACCTATAATCTTGAGGGAACTGGTGCTCCCTGACGGATTCAACCCCGTGTCATCCAGCTTCACGTCTCTGACTGTGCAACGTGGTCGATAGCATTCGATCTACACTAAGAAGGATTTGACGCACATGACAGTGATCACCACCCAGTGATCAATCACTTGTGATCAGTTCATCGTGTCAAACTTCATTATCCGCGCATTTTCATATCAATTGAGTTCTATACTCGTACTTTTCTTCTCGACCTCCCTACTGCCAAACATTCTAATTCTGACAATCGTTACCTACTACTTCATGTCAACATAAGTAGTACATACACTATAATATTCACACAGATAACAAATAAATTGGTAAAAAAATAATCCCATACTATTCAGTTCACTTCACTGTAATCACATGTGAAACTGTTTCCAATCAAGTCCATATATGGAATGTTGCATATTAGATTTATTCTTTAAAATGATTAATCTGTTTTGTTTCGGTGGGGAAGGGGTTGTTGTTGTTGTTTTTTCCATATTCAAATTCAATGTAGGCAACATATTAGACAAATAAATGACGTCATAATGATTAGTTTCTCAGTTAGATATTGCCATATTATCTAAATATTATTCATTATAAACAAATGATATCATGATTATTATACAATAATGAATCATATAAACATTTACTGATTAATTTTTATTAGTTGAAATCATGAGTCAGTTGAAGCTAAACCATCATAGAAAACCCCTGAAGCACTGGACGGTCATTTCATCCTATTGTCGGATTCCTCAACAGTGCGTATCCACGACCCCACCTGGCGAGATTCCAGCTCAGGACCTATCATTCCACTAGACCACTGAGCCTGCATCCAACAGTGTTAGTGTCTAATTTCAACTAATCCACGAAATTGATCGATCCATCCACCATTGTCTTCAGTGTGTTACTATCTCACAACAGACCTGGTTGAACTCCACCGGTCACTGCTTCTCACTAGAACTCCAGGAAGTACCTGTTGAAGCCAGTCTGTAGTGAGCATATATTGATTAGTATCAGAATTGGTTTTGTGAAGATTTTAGTAATTTCAATAGTTGAGATTATGACTCGATTGAAGCTAGACCGTCATGGAAAACCCAGAAGCATAGGGTTTTCAATGAGAAACTTTAATAAGTAGTTAAGATCATATTGGGAATGAGTTAAAAGTATTACTAATAGAAAGGAATGATAATTGATTTGATTTGAGCTTCTGGATGATATTTCAACAAATAATATTATCTGTGGCTGGTATGTTTCAAGCGATTACAAGTTCATTTAATCTGAGAACGGAACGACGATTCTGTGACACAATGACAGAATGCTAGCTATTCCGACGTATCCCAGCTCACTAACTAGAAAGAGAAGTCCAAGTCCGAACGGGGAAATATATATATAGCAATAAATTGTCTTTGGGAAGCGTTGAAAAATAACATACTAAAACATACAACGAGCCAATAGCGTTTAAGATCCTCCGAAGTGGGAAAATACGACATGAAGGTAGAAATGAGCGCTTTTGGCGCGAAAACAAGAAATTCAAATTTTTAAAATAAAATTATAAAAAATAAGGTATTTATCAAGTAAGTTCTGGCGATCTAACATCTCCAACATAATACAACATGAAGTTATTTTGGGAAATAATGTGAAAGATAATGTATCTGAGGTGAGCTCATTTGTTTAATTGTGTAGTTTTCATTATGGTTCTGGATAACATTATTGGTGTTTACTCCATGTGGAAGTTTGCTTCTAATCAGTCAGTCAGTAACAACGTAGAACTTCGTACGTACG